TTTTCAATAAACTTGGGATATAGTAGCATAATCGTAATTTTTAATAATTTTTATATTATTTTTTCGGTAACAATATTTAAAATCTAATGTGATATCTTTATTCCTTAAGAACTAGTACTGTAAAAGTTGAAAAAAAATTGAAACTGAACGTTTAATGTAAATTAAATAAATACCTCCTTGATGGGCACTAACGTTTCAGGAATAGTTCGGTAAAACTTTCTTGACTTGCCTAAAGTGTTAGTTTTCAGGAATAGTTCGGTAAAACTTCCTTGACTTACCTAAAGTTTTAGTTTTCTGGATTGAAATACTTTATTTCAAGTGTCCCGCAGTCAAATGAAAGACTTTCACACTAATAGTTGATTTTTCCAACTTATTTAGACTTAATTAATAATCATTTTATTATTATTTAAATTAAAATTCAATTAATTAATTATTTTAAACACTAATTAATTGCCAAATATGTAATAAATGCTTTTAAATCATGTAAAAAGAAAATATAAAACGGCAATAACATACTTATTTTTTTAACATAAAATTTATTCATTTTAATTAAATATGAATAATAGTAAGTAAGTAAGCAAGTAAACATAAGTAAGTAAGCAAAAAGGAAATAACTTGCTTGCTTACTAGCTTACTTTCTTATTTGCATACTTACTTGCTTATTTCTTAATTGCTTACTTTGCTTACTTGCTTACCTACTTATTTGCTTACTTCCTAATTTCCTTCTTGCTTACTTGCTTGTTTCCTTTCTGCTTACTTACTTCCTTATATGCTTACTTGCTTACTTTCTTATTTCCTTCTTGCTTACTTTGCTTACTTGCTTATTTTCTTCTTGCTTACTTTGCTTACTTGCTTATTTCCTCCTTGCTTACTTTTCTTACTTGCTTATTTCCTTCTTGATTACTTACTTTCTTATTTGCTTACTTTCTTACTTGCTTATTTCCTTCTTGCTTACTTTATTCTTTATTTGCTTACTTGCTTATTTCCTTTTCGCTTTTTAATACCTCACAATTATTATTTAATATTTCAGAAAGATTAATTTTCTATTAATTAATTTAATAATTTCCAACTTGCACTTTTAATATGTATATTTTTAATTTTAAACACAAAAATTTGAGAATAATAAGGATTTTCATAAATTATTGTTTTATTCCATTAAATACAAATTTAAACATTTTTCTTTATAATAATAAAAACATAATTTAAAAATATTTCATAAATTGACCTTGAATATAGTTAGAAATGATTCATTAATATAAATAATTTTTAATTTTGTACAACGATAGTTTATTAATTTGAATCTTTCTCACAAGCGGTGAAATAAAATTGAGATTAATATATAAGGACAGTTGAAACTTTCTGAAGCATTAATGTAAAGCGTGCGATGTGTGTATTAGTGTATGCGTTTAGAATGTACTGTAGGCAGGTGTATCAATTAGTATTTGTTCGTAAACAATTGTAGGGGGTTTAGGTAGTGATTAAAGTAGGTAAATTGAGAGTTACGGCAGTATTAATATAGATCTACTGAAGTAACATTATTTTTTATTTTTGTTCTTCAAGTTTTACCGAACTTTCAGTAAATTGCAACTCGTCAGTTTTACCGAAGACTTTAACTTACGTTTTACCGAACTATTCAATAAATTGCAACTCGTCAGTTTTACCGAAGACTTTATCTTACGTTTTACCGAACTATTCAATAAATATGAATGTAGCGAGCACTTGGCTTACGTTTTACCGAACTGTAACTGAAGCGCTAATACATGCATCGTGAGCTTTATGATTTTTACATTATTTTTCAATGCAATTTCTTTTACAGTCTAGTTCTTGAAAAATTACTGTTTTGACACTTCATCCCAGTTTTACCGAACTAAATTCAGTAAAATTTCAGGAATAAATTTTCTCCGTGTAGCATCACAAACCGTTTTTTTTTTACAAAAATTAACACTTTTTTTTAAGGTTTCAGATGAAAAAAGTGCTCTGAACAAATTTTTAACTCCCGAGGTGAAATATTTCAATTTCAAATATTTCGTTTATTCGAAAATTCAGATCTTTAGGAACGTGATTTTTCATATTCTAACTTTGAAATTTCACCTATTAACAGTTTAGTCCTCAGACACAGCATTCTACTGATTTACTTATTCAATATCGTATTTATTTCGATCGAAAGGTAAAAAAAACGTTGTGATAGATTTTCGTTGAGCCGTCAAAAAAATAACGAGTCGCAGTGGTCGTTTTTGATTTATATCGAGTGCATCGTATTCAATTTTATGCGAGAACACATGATTCATGGCCTTATGTTATAATGGGTGTGCAAAGGGGGTGAGAGGTGAGTGGGTGATGTAAAGGTGTGCAAGTGAAACGTATATATACATATACATACATATATATCTACGAAAGCAAAGTTTTCAATTCCCGATATGGGATAACAGAGAGGCAATCCTAAAGTATAGTTACCCAAAGGTGCTCTGTAACATAATGACAGATATTGATGCCGTACATTTATAATAATTTATCTTTCACCAATATTAAAATTGTTGTTATCTTTGGGAAATCGATAACTTACAGTAAAATATAAGAAATCGATGCTAGAGAGAGAGAGAGAGAGAAAGTAGACGAAAAAATATTATAAAAAATGGTCCAAAATTTTTCTTTTTGACGCTTAAGAACATTTTTCTTTTATTTTGCATTTTTTTAATTTTACTATCACTGTTAACTTGAAAGTATCAAACTGCAACGAATTCATACCAAAAAGTGTGGATCAAATCATAAATTGATCCATAGGTATCAGTTTGATCCACCTTTTTCTATAATGTATAAGAACTAATTTAGATTTAGAAAGTGTAACTAAACTAGACCAAAATGGAACAAAATTTCTATTCGATACATTAAATCAACAATCCGATTTTCTGGCACTTTTGCCCATATGAAAAAATGTAACTAAATAATAAATTACCATCTTAATTAAGATTACCTAACAATGTTAATAAAACAAAAGATTGTTATATATAAAAATCTCTCAATTTTCGCTTCTTAAAACAAGCAGTATACTAATTTCTAATGTACATATATATGTAAAAAGTAGCTGCACGAAGTGAAATAAATTTTCTTAAGTAGATAAAGTCAAAGTTTAGTGTTCGTGTGATAAGAATAAATGCCATTGGTATAACAAAAATACAAGTCTACCATGAGTGTATGTATAAAAAATGAGATCTAAAGAGAAAGATATTATGGGAGGAGAGTGAAGAACTACTGTCCAGTGGAGGAGATCGATTATAGTCAGACACAAATCTGTCAGACTTCACACAGGAGAAATCCTATTTCTATTAATCCCCATTTTCTCATTTCAAATATTTCCAAAACAAAATTATGCAGTTAAAAACAGTTTTTTTAATTCAATAAATTAAGTTGCTAATTGTTTAAATTTAGGACAAACAAATTGTTTAAATATATTTTTCTATATCAAATTGATATGATAGGTACTAAAGTATGGATCAAGCTGATGCCAAAAATTTAGATCGTTGCAATTTGATACTATTAAGTTAACAGTGATAGTACAATTTAAATACAGTAATCCAACTTTTTTGTTTAAAACCATAATCCAATCGTTAATTAAACAGCGAAACGAATTTATTTCTTTCTAATACTATTTTTAATGATAGCGACAGAGAAGACAGGGATTTAAAAGTTTTTTGAAATCCGTCTTCACTTATAAATCACATAAACCTTTAAGTAATGTTGCAAGTTTCAATTTACATTTCCAATAACTTGGTTTCTACACATACACACACTATCTCTCTCTCTCTCTCTCATCTCTTTCTCTCTCACTCAGAGATTTGTGTAAAGTTATATAAGTGTGTATCGTAGCGTCGGCAGCGTCCATTGGAACATTGCCAACTCCCATGTTCGATGATTTCGTATTAAAGTTTCAATGTAGTTTTACGCGGTATTACTTGCTGTAAGGTCGTGTGTGTATATATACACATATACATACACAGAAAGAAAAATAAACGAGGGAGAATGAAAAAGGAAAAAAATAAGAATAGCTGATGAACCAAAAGAAGAAAAATATGAGGGAAAAAGCTAATAGAGTAGACAAGGAGCCTCTTGCATATTTTTATCTGACACAATAGATGGCCTCAGTCTTTTATTCTTTGCTCTTTCTGCTCTTACGAATATACCTTTAGTCTGTGTGACCCGACAAAAATGTAATAACCAAGAAGCAGAAGGCACTACATTAAAATGAATATTTCAACTCCTTTTTTTTAAACAAAAGAAAAAGAGGAAGAATAAACTATCGCATGAATTTTAAATACTTTTTCACATTAAAATTCGCATTTTCGGTTTACTGAAGAAAAAAAGTATGAGTAATAAAACGTAATTCGGAAGTTCTGGAAACCGCACGGTGTTTAAATGATTTTTATAAGATTTATGTTAATGTTTCTCTAAGGATATCAAATTGAGACAAAAAAACGTATGACGTTTTTTTGCAACACGAAAACGTGTTGCATCGCAACACTTTTCATACGTTTTTTGTCTCAATTTGATATCCTTCCAAAAACTGTGATTTTAATGTAAAATGTTTGTTGTACAAACAAACATTTAACAATTTTTAATTAACTTGCAAATTTTGTTCAAGTTTCTAAGAAAATTTGAAAACCACGCACGACTGATTAGAATTTAAATTAATAAAAGAACCCGGTGCTAATTTTAAGTTTTGAAACATGTGTCTAAGATATTCATCAAATATCAAATTTACAACAAAATTTTCAACACTGTTAATTTGAAAGCATCAAATGCAACGAATTGCAAAACTTTGATCTACAGTTTTGGAATCAATTTGACTTCCAAAACTTCCAAAACTTTTACAAAGAAGATCGCAAAAATTCCGTTTTCATATTTCTAAGGTAAAATACCTACATGAAAATTGAAATTCACGTTTCAACAAGAAAATTATTAAAATATAGTAACTAAAGGATATAGAATGAAAAAAATAAACTCACGGTTATCGAAGTCCAAGAAGAGAGATTCAATTAAGTATTTAATCCTTCAGGTTGAACATAAACAAAACACTCGAATCACACTGGTCAACACTGGAATCACTGTAAAAATAAAAAAAACATTCGTGAAACATCTATCATCAATTTAATTCCCATTCACTATTCTTTACAAATTTTAACAACAATGATTAAAAAAGAAAAACAATTTTCCGCCATTTTCACCTTTTCGCACGAGAGTAACATAAGGATTTCCAGCAATATGCTTGTTGCTATGCTTATATACAGGGTATGCTAAAACACCGCTCAAGAAATGACTCATGAATTGAAAAACTTTTTGTTAAAACACGAAAAAAAACACGTTTCAATAAACACGACCGGAAAAGAGCACTTATGGCTAAACACTTCCGGTCTTACCGAAACTTCAACGAGAATCCATCTCTCAGGATTCAAATCGTTTTTCAGTCTAATCGAGGTTCTCCTCCTCCGTCTGACCTCGTTTCACCCGTCGGAACATCTTCGTTTTTCATCCAAATGACTCGCCTCAAGAGCGCATCCGACATTACGCTCTGACATAAAACACGAAAGCTCAAAACGTCCTTGTTCTACCTCTCATCCGGCACTCGACAAAGAGAGAAGATGACACTCTCGAAAATCACAGGTGAAATGGACGAAACGAGGTTAACGACTTTGCGAGGTTAACAAACACTGATTTCTATTTTCTTCCAACAACAATGTTTTTTCTTTACAAAAACAAGTTCACTATAAAATCTTTATAATAAGGAAAAATCAGTTTCTTCACACCATCCGGGAATTGTAACCAGCTGACTCGTTTTCCCACATCGAGGTTACGAGGTGGAAAACAGCCTCCACCATTAACCTACTTTACTCTCTGACATCGAGAAATGAACTCACCCTTGAAAATTAGGTTATACTTCATCATTTCAATCTGACAGCAATTTAAATCCATTCTCGGAAACTCTTACAAAAAAATTGCCCAGTTTTATACATAGATAGAAAAGTTCCTTCTCTTGAATAACCTCGCGCGCACCCAAAATGGAGGCCGACCCTCCCGACTTTACTCTCCTAGCGCTCAATTTTCTCTTCTCACGTCTCCTCACTTTTTTCAACGTGAAAACAATCCTTTTTTTCACATTCACAAGATTATCCGAAAATAAATAATTCAAGTCCTTTTCTCACTCGTCTCCAACGGGAATAGTTCAATCAGGATCCGCCTCTTCGAAGACAACAAGACTCCCTCTCTCTCCCGAGAGGTCACACAATAAAACAAAGATTAATTTTTCCCTCAAAAAAAAAATGTCCATATATTCCACAAAAAACAAATCACACGCGTACGTCAATATCACGAAAAAACATCCGACAAAGTGACGACAATTTCATGTAAATCCCAAACTTCTTTTCCCGTTGACAAATCGGTATTCGCGGGCGAGAGCGAAACACAAGGGTGGACCGAATTAACTGACACGACATCTGGTGTTCAAAACACTAAATTCAACATTTGCCAGGACAAATGAATTTTAATTTTTACTTTCCAACAAAGGATTATCAACGATTGTTGATTTTTCTAATAAATAAAATTTATACCGAACGATTTGTGTTTTCAGGGTTTGCTGGCACTTTGAGGATAAATACTGTTGTTTTTTCATTCGAGAAAAGACATATTTTCGCGGCTGCGCGATTACAACTAAATTGTGCGCAAGGTTAATGCGCATCCACTTCAGGAATTGGAAGGGGTGCGTTCAATTGTTAAGGGATGAGGGTGACGACCGAGCAACAAACAAGTGCAAATGTACTCAACTACGCAAGCTATTAGGCAGTGGCGACACCTCACGACTCTTTCGAACACCCTTCTTCAACAATATATCATATGTCGGTAAAGAAGATTTCAACACTATCAAAGGAGATTTCTAGCATTCTTAGGTTGTCTTATCAATTTGTCAGCAATCTGATGTTTATTAAGCGTCTACTACGTTTGTTTACACAATTTTTCCTTTTTTTTCTAACAACGTCGCAGTAAGACGAAAAATACCAAAGGAATTGAAAAATTCACGATTCGTCAGTATCAAATATAAGTAGATTATATTAATTCGTAAGTACTTTTATTTCAATATTTCGTATCTAAATTTTCCTAACCCCAAAAACTGTGTATACTCTATTTATTTTCACTTCAATTTCTGTGAGAATTTAATAATAAATTCGACATAAACGCTAAATTCCTACCGTCAATATACAAAATCACTTATTTATACACAGTTCCATTTTTATGAATTTAAATAAAGAGTCAAAGTGCAAGAATAAACAAATAAACTAATTATTTATAATTCCATTTACTTATTTTCAGAAACATGGGTGTTCGCTGCATAGTTGAGAATTGCAGAACTTTTATTAATTTAGAATCAAAAGGTCCGCAGAGTAAAAGAAATAATTATTATACATTTCCAAAAGATGCAAAAATGAGACAAGTTTGGTTAAAAAAATGCGGGAAAAAGGAACCATTTGATTATGAACACTCATATGTTTGTGTGAAACATTTCAAAGACGAAGATTTTGAACGTAATCTTCGAGGTGAAGTATTGGAAGTACCGATAAAGAAAAAATTAAAGTCCGACGGTGAGTTGAAATATTTAATTTAACCCAACCTATTTTTTACAACTGTTTATTAATTTTAATTATTTAATTATATGAAAACTAAACATTTTCAGGATTGACACAAATCAGGGAAGTCAGAGAAAGTAAAATTGGTCAGGGATTTTTATTAAAAGTACTCGGAATAATTGAAATTTTAAAATTCGTAAGAAATCTCTGAATTTTGATGTTTTTTTTTGTTTGCCTCGTAAACTATGAAATTACCATGAATTTTAATACGAAACCTTCAAAAATTTTTAAATAATTCTCGTCAGAATTCCAATTATCTTTATAAATAATAATATTCTTTTCGAAAATTCAATTATTTAAAAAAATTCTAATAAAATTCTTGGCAAAATTTCACAGGAATTCAATTATTTACAAAATTTTAAATAAATTTCTTGGAAATAATTCAATTATTTTCATAAGTAATAAAATTTTCACAGGAATTCAATTATTTAAAATACAAAATTTCATTAAATTTTTCGAAAAATATCAATTATTTAAAAAGATTTTTATAAAATTCGTCGCAAGAATTCAATCATTTAAAAAAATTTAACAAAGTTCTTTTCAAGAATTCAATTATTTTTATAAATAATAAAATTCTTCACCGAAATTCAATTAGGTATTTTTATAAACTTGAATAAAATTCGTTGCAAGAATGCAATTATTTATAAAAATAATAAAATTCTTCACAGAAATTCAGTTATTTTTATAAACTTGAATAAAATTCGTTGAAAGAATTAAATTATTTTCAAAAGTAATAAAATTCTTCTCAGAAATTCAATTATTTTAGAAAAATTTTGATAAAATTCTTGGAAAAATTTTAATTATTTTCATAAATAATAAAACTCATCGCAGGATTTTAATTATTTTTGATACAATTTTAATCAAATTCCCCGAAAAATGTAATTATTCTTAAAAATTTTATTAAATTTTGTCAAATGAATTCAATTATTTAAAAATTTGTTGATACCATTCTTTATGAGAATTCAATTTTAACAAACATTCAATTATTCAATAAATTATTTATTTTTTAATTTAAATAATTGAATTCTTCTAGAATTTTCTAATAAAAAATTTGAATTAAAAATTAATTACCAAATAATCGATTTATTATTTATGAAAATAATTGAATTATTGCAACAAATTTTATTACATTTTTTTTAAATAATTGAATTTTTTTGAGAAATTTTACTACTTGTTAAAATAATTGAATTCTTGCGAAGGATTTTATTAGGATTTTTGTAAATAATTAACTTTTTTTTGAAAATTTTGTCTGGAAATCAGGGAAAAGTCAGGGAAAAATAAAATTAAATATTTGTGGCAACCCTGATTTTCCATTTTTGTTTCTTAAAACCATATTTACATTTTACAAAGAAAAGATATTTTTATTTATTTTATTATTTGAACGTTAAAATGAACAAAATATTTCCAATATTTTGCAAAATTAATGGACTAAATGGAAAAATGTTGTAATTAATTATTCATTCAGTAAACAATAATTATTTAATTAGAAAAAAACAATATTTTGTTTCAAAATTAAAAAATTAAATTAATTCACATTAAAAGAAAAAAAATGTCGTTTATTTAAACGTTCGAAACAATAGTGACACAAATTTGTAATAAATATCGTTTTTTTAGATTTTTCGTTTTTTTGGGGGGTTTTAATTCAACTTTAATTTTTCAGCAATACCATCTTTAAATTTAAACGACAATGAAAAGGAGGACGATTTAGGGAGAAATTCCGGTAGAAAGCAACGTTATGAACAGCGAGAACGAAAAAAAGAAGACGATTCACCTAAAAAAAATAAGCCTACAAAACGAGCTGTTGATGTTGATTTAACATTATCACCAGTAAATAGAGAAACTTTACCCTTACCGAAGAAACTGAAATCTTTAACAAAAGACAGTCCTAAACCGTCAAGTAAAGAAGAACAAGAGAAACTTGACGAAATTGATGCCGCAGAACTTCAAAAACTTTTAAATATTATTTTAGAAAGGATACAATGTTTAGAGCAAGAAGTAGAGGGTCTCAATCATATCATGGAGGACATAAAAAGTCGAATTGAAAAAATGCAAAATAGGCATTGAGAAGAATAATTAATTCTAATTGTTCAAAATGGCACGTGTAAATATATTTTTTAAAATTATTCATATAAAAATTGTAATATTAGCTTCCAGCATATGATGTAATAAATTAAAAATTTCTTTGCTTTTTCTTTGTTTCTATCTTCGTGGAAAAAGAGCTGAATATACAATAATGCGTTAAAATAAAAATTGTGAACTTAAAATTTAAGTATTGTTATGTATATTATTAGAAATAATGAGAACTTAATATTTTACATGAAGAGTTAAAATATTTACACATACCTAATATATATTTATACTTTTATGTTTATATTCACCGTAAAAAAAAGTCTTCTAAGCTTGAGTGTGACTAAAACAATTTACACTTTAGACCAAATATTGACTAAATTTTTCATTAAAAAACTGATTTTAAGACCTAAAATTAATTATTTTTATTTTAAGCCCAAAAATTAGTTGAATTTAAGAAAAAAACATGTTTGAACTACAAATACTTTAAGACTTTGTTTTTACAGTGATTATTATATTAAATTATGATTAAAATGCGCTAAATTGATAATTATCGAGATTATCGATAAGATCAGCAGAACTTGTTTAGAAAATTTTTCAAAATACAATAAATACTGTTAATGATTTATTAACAATTAGTTTTAATATCTCTGTAAAAACAATCAATGATGCAAAAATTAAAATTTAATCTTTTAATAATGAACAACTAATTTTGTATTTTAATTTTTAAATAATGAACAAGTAGGTTTGATTTTTAATCTTTTAATAATGATGAACTAATTTTGAAAAGTTAAAAAAAAGAGTTCATCATTGTGGACATAGCCTAATATTAAACCGGAAATCTCAATGTTGTGTAAACGCCTTTAATGTACATCCGATTCCCCTAAATAAATCAATGTTTTTTTTTGAGTTTTCATAAGTTTCTTTACATAAGTTCATTTAGTTCTTCATTATTAATTTTATCTTTTCAAAGATGGAATTTTAAAATAAAAACGTGGCGAGTGGAGCAATAAAATTCTATTAAAATGGATTTTCAAATTTCAACGAACACTACATTGCGGAGCTACCTAACCTTAAAAATTCCTATATTGGTAATAATTTTTATTTTAAAAATTTATATACCTTTTTTTATCAATAGATTCATAGAATTGATTTGAATTATTTAACGTTTAATTTTTTATGTTCTTTTAATCTTGTTTTTCTAGTTCTAAATGGCAATCTTATTATAGTAAATGCCTCATTTTAGCATACCTACAATATTTTTTAATGTTACATCATTTCATTTTATAAATGTATAAAGTGTAAAGCTATCAAACTTTTATGTTCTCAAGTCAATTAATTTATTTCGATGATATTAATATCATTTTTTATTTAATAATTAAATTTGAATGCGACTAATAATTAATCATAAAATAATGAAGGGTAAAATACTCTTTAAAAATTATATTTTGCTTTCATTTAAATTCAGAAATTAATCGATTTTTTTTTGAAGAAATTGTAATAAAAAAATATCGAAAACTATAACACGTGAAAATTCTATTTTTAATCACAAAAGAATTTCAAATGGAAAATTAAGAAAATAAATATCTGTAACATTTAAACAGTTGTTTAACTAAGAATGTTTATACGAATTATTACAAAAGTCAATACATATCTGTACATATCATAAAGGTTAATGCAATGGTCCAATGTACATATGACAGAGAGGAGGCATATCTAACAATGGGACAATTTACTTTTATTAAGGGATTGATACTATTAAGTAACAATGATTTTGCGTCTTATTTTAATATAAAACTTTACGTCTGCTTTAAATTTCTCACACGTAATCTATTTTTTGCAAAGTAACAACTTATTTAATGGTCATTATCATTACAACCAAATAAAAAAATGCTGTATTCACAATTTTTTCCACTTCATTTTAATAAAATAAAACTAAGAAAAAACATCTTTTTTTAATAATATATACTATACGCATGTCAATTATTTGTAAGCTGTGAAAATGAGACAAAATTATCCTGACCTTTTGAGTGTTTTCAATTACTCAGCCAATAAAAAACAACCATAAAATGATATGAAATTAGGTATAATCGAAATTTTAGTATTTACGATTGAAAAGAAATTGTTCAAAATAAAGTCTTATAATTACTTCTCATTTGATGATTCAAGCTATTATTTTTACAATTATCATCATTGTGTGATATTTTAGTTTTGAAATTAATGGATTTTAACAAATGAAAAAACCTATAATTAACAGTTGGCTAACAATTAGCACCTGTTATTTATAAAATTTTCCGTCAATAATATTTTTTTATCTTTTTTACTAATTCATCAATTTTGGAAAATTTCAAATCTATCAGAAAAAATATATTTTTAGCAGCTTTTAATTTAATGTTTCCTACTAATAATTACTTTATTTTCAATAACTTAATTTCATTAATTAATTAATATTAATTCTTATTGTAATATTTGCCAAAATAAGTTTTTTGGAAAATTTCAATTCTTTTAAAAAAATATTTATTTTTAGCGGCTGATAATTAAACTGTTTTCTATTAATTAATTACTTTATTTTTAATTTCATTAATACAATAATTAATAAATACTAATTCCTATTGAAATATTTGCAAAAATAATTTTTTTTCGAAAATTTCAAATCTGTTAAAAAATCTATATAAATTTTTAGTGGCTGATAATTAAATTCTGTCTACAATAATTAATAACTTGATTTTTATTATCTTTACTTTATTAATTAATTGAAATTAATTCTTATTGGAATATTTGCGAATTTTATTTATTTATTTTTTTTTTTGAAAATTTCGAATCTGATAAAAAATATAGATTTTTAGCGACAAATGATTAAATTTTGTCTACTATTATTTAATTAGTCAATTTTATCAGTTAATTTAATAATAATTTTTAATGGAATATTTGACAAAATCATTTTTTTTTTTTTTTTTGAAAATTTCAATTATTCTTAATAAATATTCATTTTTAGCGGCTGATAATTAAATTATCTAATTATTAATTACATTATTTTTAATTATTTTAATTTAATAATTAATAGTATAATGAATTTTTAATGGAATATTTGACAAAATAATTTTTTTAGATTTCAAATCTGTTAAAAAAGTATATAAATTTTTAGCGGCTGACAATTAAATTCTGTTTACTATCAATTAATTTATTATCCTATTTTTGATCACTTTATGTTGTTATTTAATTAATATTAATTTTTATTGGAATATTTACTAAACTAACTTTTTTTTCGAAAACTTCAAATCTTTTTTAAAAAATTATATATTTTTACTCTTTACTTTATTAATTAATTGAAATTAATTCTTATTGGAATATTTGCGAATTTTATTTTTTTGTTGTTGAAAATTTCGAATCTGATAAAAAATATAGATTTTTAGCGACTGATGATTAAATTTTGTCTACTATTAATTAATTACTTTATTTTTAATTATTCAATTTTATTAGTTAATTAATAATGATTCTTATTGAAATATTTGACAAAATAATTTAATTGGAAAATTTCAACTCTTTTAAAAAAATATTTATTTTTAGCAGCTGCTAATTAAATTCTGTCTACTAATTATTAATTACATTATTTTTAATCGCTTTATTTTATTAATTACACTGTAAAAAGAAAGTTACGAATTTAGTACCAACTTTTGGTACTTAATTGTAATTTGTTTTAATTTTAATACCAAAATCAGCTCTAATTTAGAACCTTTTTTTTTACAGTGTAAAAAAAATCCATTATTATGGATTAATTGTCTAAATAATTTTTTTTGTCTTTTATTGAATTAATTGTAATTTAACTACTCCGATAAAGTTGTTTATTATTAAAAGTAATTTATTTATTAATTTCAAGTAACTAATTAAATTTTTGAAAATATCTTGAAGTTTAATTGAAAATATAACAGGAAAATTTTAAAAATAATTTTGATAATACTTCCATTTGATTAAACAAAAAATTGTGTAGAAAGCTATTTTATGCCACGAGGTGCGTAATAAAATTTAAAATTGGTCGTAAATATGATTAAAAGAAGTAAAGAGAAATACTAGGAGTCTATGAGAGAATAGGTGACGATCATTGTTAGTAACTATCAAAATGACGAGTAGGTTGAGTTCGTCACATTGTAAAATGTGGGGACATAATATAACAGCCGGTATTAGTTCAGTGACTACGACGCGTATCGGTTGGCTCGCATTTATATAGAGAGATAGTTCAAGACAGTTCCTCCAACAGTCTCGTTCTTGTTATAGTTATACTTGTAGTTTAATTCAGTGTGTGTCCATTTCTGTTCTTCCAAGAAGAACCATTTATCTAGTTATTAACTTCGGACACCCATGTACCAAGTGTTACATTCTTTAATTGGACGGTATAGCACCGTTACTTTTCTCGTTGGAACATTTCTCATTTCTAATTGTCTCACTTAATGAAGAAAATTTATTGAAAATTTTGGAGTAAATTTTCTTCACTTGAGAAATAGAGAGAAAAAAGAAAGAAATCACTGATTTCACAGTTGATCAGTTTATTGATCTAAAGAAACAGGTTTCAAAAGAAAAGCACAACGTGGAAGAGATCAATAATTGTTGGTAGGATTTTTTCTCAAATTTTTAGAGTTTTTTTCATCTATTATATCTGTCATTCTTAGAAATAAAATTATTTCAAAAGGAAACTAAATAATTATAAAAATAATATTTGTAAAATGTTATAACGATTCTCTATTTTTTTACAATATAAATAATATCTGAAATCCGAGTCTGTCACTAAGAGGAAAAATAGTCTAAGTTTTCAGACATTAGTTCCTGTGATAAAAAATATTTATTCAAGTACATAAATAATTTTATTTTTAAAATAAATATCTTTGAAAAAATTAGAAGACTTTCTTTCAAGTGTAAAAATAAAAATATTTTTTATCATAAATGTTTGTTATCTAAATTTAATTATATATCATTTAAAATAATACATTATGAGTGTAATTAAAAAAGTGGAACAAATTCCTAATAATGTACCATTTTTAAATTCATTTATTAAGCATTATCAGCAAATTTCAAAATAGATTGTTTTTATTTCAATATTATTAGGTATTATTATCAATTATTATTACTATTATCACTATTTATTATTACTATTATTTTTATAATTATTTACAAAATTAAAATTGATTTTTTTAACACTTTAATGTTTAAAAAATTTCATCTACCCTAATTTACATCTCAATTAATAAATAAACATTGCATACCTTTAAATTTATACGTGGCGCAATGTTTACACACAATTATGTATAATGAGAATCCTCTTTAATAAAAACTCAACATAAGCAAAATTGAAAAATTAAATTGTTTTAAAAATATTTTTCTTTCATTTTCGATAAAAAATTTCAATAAGAAACTAATTTGTGAAACTTAATTTTTATTAAATAGAATAAAATTTTATTTAATTAAAAAATAAAAATTAAAAATTTTACTGAAAAGAATTGTATCAATTTATTTATGAATAAATAAATAAACGAAAAATAAATATTAATAATATAAATTAGTATAGTTTAATTAAGTAATTAATTATTTATATAACCAATTACAATATTTTTGTTTTCAATAAAATTTTGCAATTAAATATTTCATAATAATTGTATTGTTTAAAAGAAATTATGAAATTTTAATTATACAATACTATTGTTTAATAATAATATTTATCACTCAATAAGTCATTAAAAATCCAAATAATAGGCTAATAGATATAATTATTAATAATTAAAATGTAAACAATTCTAAAATAATCGAGGAATATCGATAAAATTAATTTTTATTGAATAATCAGAATATGTCAACCAACAGCCTATTAATTTAATACATTGAAAGTATATTTTGCGGTTTCAATCTACAATCTAAAAAAAATCTCAAGAGAAAATGTTCTTCTTTCGTAACTATGAAATGAGATTAAGCGCTAATAATATTTCTCACATATCAATAATAATGTAAAATAAAAAATTATATAAACTTTCCTGTCACCAAAAAATCTCAAAAATTCAATTACTTTATCAAACAAAATTTTTTAATTTCAGAATCGATCGAAAGTTAAATTGAAAATAACATATTAAGAAAATAAATAAAAAGAAAAATGGTTGTCGCCGAGGATATTACGACAACACAAAATTCAAACACCGACATGAGTAATTCAAGTTCAAATGCAAAATATAATTCTTATGAGCATCAACAACAACACGAGGCTAATTTACATAATGAAAACCACACTAATTTCATTGAAAAAAATTACCTTTTATCTCAAAATAATAAAAAAAATCCAATAATTATAACAGAGGAAAATCATATCAATATGCAAAAAATTAACGGTTTTAAAAAGGAGAATGACGAGAAAAATTTCTCAACCAATGATCCTGAAATGAATCCAATTAATGGACATATTCATGAACCACCAGATGGTGGAGTAAGAGCATGGGCCATTATGATTGGAAGTTTTCTCATCAATGGAATACTCTTCAGTGTTATTAACAGTTATTCTCCAATTTATGGAAATTTAAAGCAAAGACTGAATGATGCAGGCCTTAGTGATACAGCAGAAAAAGCCGGTAAGTTGGGAAAACAATTTTTCCAAAAAATATTCCAATTAAAAATTTTCTCAAATTATATTTTTTTTTTGTAACCAAAATTGTAAAAAAAATTCCGATTCATAATTAACGAAAATAATTCGAGAGAAAAAGAAGAGTAAAAAATTTTGATAATTTTTCCGTCTTTATCTTATTTATTTAGAATTTAATGAATTAGAATTTAATTAAGCATTTAAATGAATGGTTTTATCGATGACCTACTTGACAGATAGATTGAGGGATAATTATAAAATCTAGATCAGGATGCAAAAAATAAATCGCTAATTGGGATTAACTAAAGGTTACAATTTCACATCTTATATTAATCATTAATCTACGTTTCAATATTTAACTTGATCTTCAATTTTTATAATATATAAAACAAACAATCGAAACATATAAAAACTCTTAAAATTTTAGATATCCAAATACGATTAGATTATTTTATAATATGCTTTTAAGATTAAGTAAACAGCTAAAAAGCATTTAGATTATCTCAAGTGTATAAAACATACTTTTTTTAATTGCATTATTTTTATACAAACTAGAAAACTCAAATTCAAAAAATCCAATTTGATTATAAATTATTAAATTAATGATCAATTTAATTATAAATAATTAAAAATACAAAGTAGACGGCAATTTTAAATAAATGCAAGGAAATACATTAATGAACTGATCATTGAACTTTTGTATATCTATGAAAGAAATAAAGAATTGTCAGTTGAGATTCGATAAGAAATGGAATAGAATAATAGGGTGGAGTTATAAATATTGTTTTCATTTTGCATTTTATTCAATTATATTAAATTTCATTTCGCATTTTGTAATATGTTTGATAATCATTTGTTTATCTAAACTTTATGGCGAATGTTATAAATAGTATTTTAAAATTTTGTCTCAAAAACGCATTAAAAAAATTATTTATTTCGACAGAATTCCGAATTATACTGAATTTAATTTTATTTAAAAAAATGTAATAAAAAAATAATTTTCTCAACAATTTTAATTATATTTTCGTTTTTTTTTTAATAGTTAAAAACAAATATTTTTATGAGAATATTTAAGTTTATTTTTATTTGATTTTTTCCGAAACAAAATGTAAATAAAATTTATATTCCAGAGGTAACATTATACTCAATGTTAAGAGTCTAGTCTTAATGAAGTCAGCAGTAAAAGAGAGAAAATATTATCCACGTGTTCATAAATCGTGCTTTCGATTGTGTTTTAAGGATTGCTTTTGAAACAGAGTATAAAAATGAATTCTTTTTAAAATTGATATAATTGTTTATAAAATAAATGCAACTTAAATATTCAAAAACTTTACACTACATTACGATATTATATCTTTGATGATATTTCAATGATACATTGTATAACTTTAATCTCTTTAGTAGTTATTTGTATTATAGTTAAATTAGTATCTACCTCTCAAAGTGGTCATATCAAAGGACAAATTAAGTTCAATTAACCTTAATTATTTGATTTCTCTTTAATTAAGATACGAATGAAATTGAAAAGAATTAATTCACGAAGACTATTAAAAGTCATTCATTTCTTATTAATCATTTCTTAATTTGCAATTTGCAAAAAAAAAATATTATATTAATTTTCATCAGTAGAAAAAGTTTGTTATAAAATTCAACAAATTAAATTTTAATCTTTTTCTATATACTTTATTGAGATAATGTTTCAATTTTATATCAGCAATAAGTTACCGCCATAAAATAATAAGTATTCAAATATTTTTTCATTACACGTGGTAAAATCAACGAGAATCACGTCACACTTGACGTATTTGATTTGATAACAAATTAACAAATCTTAAATGCATTTAAACACGTTTCTATTATATTTGCATAATGTAGTTTTGTTATAACAAATTTTGTTAAGAAAAAAAAATATTCACGTTTAATCAGCTAAATTTTCAAGAAAGAAGTATTACGAATAAAGAAGTATTACGAAATACAGTAAAATTGAGATAAAATAACATAAATGAATTATTACATAATATTTAATTACATTTATAAATATAAAAAGTGTAATTCTTGAAAAATGAGTAAAATTTTGATTTATTCTTTTTAATTAATATAACTCAATTAATTTTCTGAACTCTGTTCAATTAAATGAGTTTGTTGTTTGCAATGATGAGGCGAATGCCCCATGTTACTTACTGAGCTAAATCAGAACATATTAACCATCAATTAAACGATCATTAACCATAATAAGGGTCAAGTAACTCTTCTAATGATTTTCTTACAATGCATAACATAATAACTGGAGCAATAATAATTCTTACATAAGAGCATTTGTCACAAAAAAGAATTTCTTTCTTATTTTTTTTTTCTTTCTTTTTCAAAAAAGAAAAAAACAAAAAAAAATTTCCTTTTTCAAACTACAAATATGTATAAACTTAATTATTGTCTACAAATAATAATAAACATAAAATCAATTAATAAATAATAAAAAAAATTTATTTATTTGATTTGATTTTTACTGGCATTTAATAATAAAAAAATAAAATTTTTCCAGCAATCGTGGGCTCTCTACAACTTGGCACAACATTTGGAATGTCTCCTGTGGCTGGAATTCTTACAAAAAAAATTGGTCTCCCAGTGACAACATTTTTAGGAGGTCTTATTGCCTCTTTGGGAGTACTTATATCAGCTTTTGTGCTTGACTCGGTACATTATTATTATTATTATTACTACTATTATTATTATTATTATTATTATTATTATTATTATTATTATTATTTTCAATTTTGTAAACATTTTTTGCATTTTTAGCTTCTTTATTTATTTATTAAATATTTTTAGTTCAACTAAATAATTATTTAATATTTATTTTTTTTAATATTTAACATTCATTTATTTATTCATTTTATTTTTATTCGTTTTAATATTCATTTACTTTTCTATTTCTTTAATTAATTTATTTAACATTTATTTACTTCATTTAAAGAATTTATTTAAATTAAATTAAATATTAAATTTAATTAAATATAGTATTTCAGGGATCACAGTGATTTTTTTATGTAATATTAGGTAAAAAAGATTTTATTTTTCAAAGAGGGAATTCAGTTTAAGAAAAGGGGAATTTGCAAATTAAGTAAAAATTATTATACAAAATTTATTTTAAAGATTTGTTTACTTTTTCTCTTAACTACAGCTTTTTCTAAGTTTCAAAAACATACATTTTTCCAAAGTTTGCGAAAAGTAAAAATTTTTTTCTTCAACCATAACTAAAAAATTTTCTAACTTAAAAAAAATTATAATTTTTGTAAGTTTTTCTTGAAAATAAGAGGATAGGGGGAGAAAAAATATTATTTTAATTGTTTTAGGGGATTTTATTAATTTAAAAGGATAAAAAAGGGGAAACTGTGATTAACTGTGATCTCTGGTACTTTTAATAAAATTGCTATGAACAATTTTTAAATGATTAATTAATTTTTTATTTTAAATAATAGTTATAATAATGACAAACTTTTTTTGTAATCAAAAGGTTGAAACTTTGTACTTGACATATGGAGTTATGTTCGGAATAGGATCAAGTCTTGCCTACGGACCCAGTTTAATTATTTTAGGACATTATTTTAAGCGTCATTTAGGATTAGTAAATGGAATTGTTACTGCAGGAAGTTCCATTTTTACAACTGTAATGCCACATTTTATGGATTTCATTATTAAGAATTATGGTTTAAAAACACTTATGATAAGCTTGGGTGCTCTTACCTGCAGTATAATGCCCTGCGCTTGTTTATTTAAACCAATCGCTCGTAAGTAAACAAATTCATTTAATTTTTATTTCGATAAACTTAGATAAAAATCACGTATTTTTATTTTAGTTTTAATTTTTAATTTTACATTTTAATTTAAATTAAATATTTTTAAATTGAATATTTTTTATTCAAATTTTATAAATTGCAAATTTTTGTATTTAAATTTTATAACTTACAAATTTTAGTATGTATTTAAATCTTAATTTTTATATTTTCTCAAAAATAATAGTAATATTTTTTTTAACATTGTTTAGTGAAGAATACATGCCCAGTTGTAGAGAAACCAAAAATTACGCACGACACAACACTTTGTGAAAAACTTAAAAATAAAATAAATACGTCCGTTTTAAGAAAGAAGAAATATATTATCTGGGCTTCTGCTATGACGATTGCTCTTTTGGGGTAAGTTGACAAATATTTAATTAAAAATTTTTCTTTATACCAAAAAAATTAGGAACTTCGCCATTATCTTTAAAATTAATGTTATAATTACAAAACAATGATAACAAGTAAAAAATAAGAAAAAAAACTTCTAAATTCTAATGTTTTAAAGAAAATAGGTCAGTCTTTGTTAAAAAAAAAATAAAACAATTAAAATTGTAGACAATAATCAATTCACTTATTTTCGAAATTACCAATGATATCAAAAAATCTTTATATTGTTCTTTGTTATTTTCAGTTATCATGTGCCATATGTTCACGTAGGGAAATTTGTTCAAGAGAATTTTGGTTCAGAAGATGGAAATTTTCCAATCACGTGCCTTGGGATAACATCTGGAATTGGACGTTTAATTTTCGGCTACATCGCAGATTTACCCAGTGTCAATAAAATACTGTTACAACAGGTTAGTTGCAATTTATCTTAATTTTACTGTGTTTCATTCAAAATAATTAATTGATTCATTAATAACTATTTTAACTTAAAAAAATAATATAAACTATAATCTTTACTTTCCGGTTTCGGAAAAAAAAATTAAAATAATAATTTAAATATTAGAATTTAATAATAGTTTAATTATTATAATTTAATAATAATTAAACTTCATTAAATTAAATTTTATTTATAAATATTTATTTAATTTCGTTCTTTTAATTTTTATTAATAATGATAATAATTTGTTTCCCTTTAGGTTGCTTTTACTTGTTTGGGAGGTTTAATGATGCTTTTATCGGTTACAACATCTTACTCAATGCTATTGATAATTTATTCCGGAATGGGATTGTTTGATGGATGTTTTATATCACTCTTGGGTTCAATTGCTTACGAATTTTGTGGTCATGAGCATGCAACGGCTGCAATCAGTTTGCTATTAGGAATGTGTGCAATACCAGTGATTGCTGGTTCAGCATTTGCTGCACGTCTTTACGATCGTACAGGTAATTAAATTATTAATTAATGCAACGAATTTCATTAAATTTCCTTTGAACTTTCAATCTCAGTAGTAAAAACTGTGAATAGTAAACTAGTAACAAAATAGCCATTAAATGAATTTAATTCATTAATCAATAAATCAATTAATAAATCATAAAATGGATACTTAGTTTTTTAATTTATGTACTTCATTATGCTAATTGGTTAATTAACATTCTATCATTATATTTATACCTCTTAATTAATTGAACTAAATTAAAAGTGTAATTAATAAAAACAAATAGAATTAAATAATAATTAATTGACGCGTATTCGATATTTTAAACTAATTAATAATTGTTATTTAATAATAATAATTGTTAGAAATACTTAATTAATAATTGAATTTTAATTTCTTTAGGTTCCTACAGTCTGACATTTATAATAAGTGGTGTGCCACCAATAATTGCAGCTTTAATGATGTTCTTAACAAGATGCGTGAAAAATGACTCAAATGAAAATTCGACAGATCCAGCCGGTGAATCTTTAACTAAACCAAATGGACAAACTGGTTGGTAAAATAAATAGTAATTAAATTATGCTTTCGCAATAGTGTATTAAAATTTACATTGATAGGTAAACTAAAAATTAACTGCTAATTTTGTTTCTAATTTTTTATGGAGTAACGTTTTCACTAATAAATATTTTCTAATCCTGATATTTTAAAAAAAAGTATTCATATTTTTTTGAAAAATTAAAAAAATATTTATTAAAACATTATTCCAATTTTATTTTAAAAACAAATTAACCGTGTAAACTAATTTTGTATTTTTTCTAACAATTTCTAACAATTTGTACTTAAATGAAAATTATTTTTTCAGTTCGCATATTTCCTTCATATACTCGATACAAGAAAAGGCGAATTAGAAAATCACCATATTTATTGATTAAACCTCATTCTATCACTATTTGTTTAAAATGAAATAATTTTTCAAGTAATTTGGTTTATGGTTATTGGTTTATATCATTAAAAAAAATCTCCCTCTCACAATATCATTATTTCCTTAATGCTATTTAAAATTTTGAGTGTTCAGTTGGGTGTTTTCATATTTTCTTTATAGATAGTACAATGTCAACGGCCAGAACAGAAATAATTGCAGAAGTGAAAAAAGGTACGTTACTAAATGAAGAAATGAACAATTTAAACATCAAATCATATTGGTCTCGTCAACATTTCCGAAATTTAAATTATCATTTATTTTCACATTTTGCAAATAATAATAGTGAACGTTTTAATCGTCAATTTTACTCTGAGAGTGTGCCATTAATTTTTAATAAGAATAGAAAGTCAACTGATTATCAACGTTTGACATATTCATTTCAAACATGATTCATTTTTATTTTTTAATAATAAATTTCGAAGTTAACAATTTATATTTTGTATATATAAATTGCGGAAAAATATTACAAAAAAAAAAAACGAATGAAATATTCGTTAAAAATTGTTAACAAGTGAAATTCTATATTTTTAGTATTACTCTTTAATTAATATAAATTTAACTAATTTTATATAACCATATTCGCGGATTTATTGAATATATGTTTTCGCATTTCAATTATTTTCCATGTGTATTTTGCAATTTTAAACAAACTATATTATGTATCTTTATTAATTTAATTTAAAAGTTTCCTTTGTTAATGAACGAAAAAATTTTTTTGTTTTTAATTATATGTACTTGTTATTGAAAATGTAATAAATATTTTAGAAATATTATTTTTTGATACAAAGGTTTTTAAGGTATCAGACATTTTTGTTCTTTCTTTTTTTTTGGTAAATTGATATTATTGTTTAATTTTAATTCAATGCCGACAAATTTGGTTCTCATGTTATTTGAACTATTGAATATCATAATGGAAAAATTTCGAAATCTGACACTACATTGCTTTCTCGTGCAATAAATACAATTATAAAATGAAAAATTTGAAATATACTGTTTGGATTTTATCCAACAAATGAAGTTAATAGTGAATAAAAATGATTTTCGAGTGAACGAGCGCGGCATATTTGTTGATATGATTCCTATCATTTTTCAAGATAATTGAATTTTATAAAAGCATATAGTTCAAAATATGAAATACATTATATGAAAGGTAATCAATGAGGTTCGTTATTTAATTAATTGAGTAAAAATATTAAACTTTGCTGTGCGCAACTGTAGATTTGCTTTGCTTTGGCATTTTGTGAATAAAAATGATAAAAATAATAAATTATTTCCTTTTTATCCGCTAAGGCCAGCTATATATGTAAACTCATTTTTAATTATCGTAAATAACTATTATATATTCAAATTGTATTTTTGCTTTCCTTTGATTCTTTTTTGTAAATATTACATGTAATTTTATAACTTTTATAACATTTTTATAAACTTCATATATTTATTAACATTTTTTACAATTCTGTAAATTTTTTATTTATAGCTTTTCACTAATTTGAAGTTTGAACTTTATTTTTAATGATTCATTCAAGAAAAAGTTAATTTTAATTATTAATCCAAGAAAAAATTAATTTTAATGATTCTTTCAAGAAAAAATTAATGCTAATAATTAATTCAAGAAATAATTAATTTTTTAAAAGCTATAATCAAAATAATCTCCAATAATTTATCACTGAGAATAATTTTCTTTTCCTTAACCAATAAAATGGAATCTAACAAGAAATTTATAGAAACAACTTTTTCACAAGTGGAAAAAAATATAATTACTAATTTATTTATACATTTATTGCAGTCTATTCATTGTAATTATCACAATTTACTTAAAACTGGTAATTTTTCCTTCTTTCACACTGTCAAACTTTACAACAAAAAATATACAATATCCAATTTTTTTCAAAATTGGTAAAAAATATTAAAGTTGTCACAAAATTTAAAACACTCGTTAAATAAAAATATTGAAAATTACAAATTTTTTACAGTTCTAAATTTTTCGATAAATAAGTATTTTAATAAATAAAATAAAATTTGAGAGAAAGCACAGTGGTGTGTAGTCCACAGTACACTAAACTAAAAGACAAATGAAACTGATCTTTCCTCCCTCCACAGCAGAGATAATTTTATTTTTATTTTAATATCCACAAATTGATTAAGGAAAATAATTATTCATCAAAAAGTCGATAGTGATAAATTTTTTAAATAATAGTCAATAACAGGGAAATAAATTACAATAGTAATAAGAAAATAGTGAAAAATAAACAAAAATAGAACAAAAAATTGTAAAAAAAATGTTAATAGAAAAAATATCAATAGAAATAGTTTATGTAAATTTTTAATTCTGTACTGTAATTGTTTCAGATAAAGAACTTCAAGAGATTTAAAACAAGACATCAGAATTCGCCACAAAGCTTGAAAGAAAACTCAAGACAAAAATTTCATCCATTATAATTAATAATGTAGATACCGTATTTTGCTCAGTGAGTACAAATATGCAACATTTTATTATGCACATGTGATACAAAACAAAGGTCTATTTACAACTATTTTTAATAATAAATAGAAAGCATTTTAAAATGAAACCAAAAATTTATATCCTAAATAGAACTTTCGTAAATTTTGTTTCGTACAAAATTAATTAATATTATTGTATTAATTAGTATTTTTTATTTGCAATTTGCAATTTTATTTTCATCTATAACTATTATTATTATTATTATTATTATTATTATTATATAGTAATAATAATAATAATAATTATAATAACAATATATTTATTAAATTTGACAAATTTTGTAACGAGCACAAAATATTGCATAATTTACATAGTTCTACGAAAATAATTAGAAAGCATAATAAAACTTTTGTCATAGTTCCGTGGAAATTATTTGTCAAGAAAGAATTTTTTTCAAGTACTTAACTCACATTATAATATTTTATTATTAGTTGATAATTTTATAATTTTTTTACCCAGTAAAATCATTCACATATAATAACGAAAATTGATTGAATCAATTTGCAAAATTAAAAAAATTAAATAAAAATTTAAATTATTGAGATATTTTTGAAATACTCTCTTAATTTATTTTTTCAGTAAAAATTTCATCTATATCCTATATTATAAGTTAAATTGAAATAATATAACTGAAATTAAATTAATCTTGAGTTTTTAATTGTATTTTTTTTTTTTTTTTGAATAAGAGAGTACAATTATTTTTTACTTTCATTATATAATTTAGAAATATTTGTCAAATAATTAATTTCCTATTATGAAACTGAGATGCATTTTCATACGAGGCTTGATTTTTTTTTAAATATTAAAATGAGAAATTAGACTTTTATAATGACACTGATTATTATTTGCAAATTGACAAAATATATCATGCTTTTAACTATAGAGAGATTAAAAAAAAGGACACTGCTATATACATTTGTAAAATAGAATATCTTTTTGAATATATAATTACTGCATGATATATTATAGATTTTGTTTGTAATTTATTGCCACAGACTTACCAAGCTAATGTGAACTGCATTTATTAAACATGAACAATGAGAAATTAGAAATCTTTAATGTGTGTGTAATAAATTATTGTAAAAAGAGAAAAAAAAATTAAAAATGTTTAATTCCCCAGCAGATAAAGATTTTACAAATATGTTATGTAATTGCAAAAATAGAAAATATTATTTTGAGAAAAGAAATTTCCAATTCAAATTTAATTTGAGTTTTCGTAAGATTTCATTTTTACTAGAAAGTCAACTATTTTAAGGAAATAATCAATTATTAGAGGATGAAAATTTTAAAAATGTACACTGTAAAAATTTAGAGAGTTAAAAGTAAATTAAAGTAAAATTTTCAAGGTAAAAATAAAAAAATTTATCAATTTCAACTCCTCTGGTGAAAAATATCTCAATAGGAAGTTAAATTATTAACTCTCATATATTTTTACAGTACGCATATTCTTGTACAAAAGAAATAAAAATTTTGAAAAGTATACACCGAAATGAAAGAGAAAACTAGTTTATTATATTTTTAGTGTGAATAAAAAATCAATCTTCTTATATTAAAATAATTATAGAAACACTAATAAATTTATTTTAAAAAATAGCAATTTTGAAAAAAATATTAATGTCCAATTGTTAGAAATTTACTTAAAAAGATTTAAACAGTATTGATAAATTGAAAATTGAAATCAAATTTTCTATAGAAAAAAGCTAATGTTTATTAAACTAGTTAACTCTTTTCAGAAATATTAAAAATGTGGATATATATATATATATATATGTATTTTTGAAAAGTTGTTGAAATATTGTAAAACTGAATACCTCATTGTTACGAATTACATACATAAGTAAATCAAATTTTAAAAATATTCTTGTATGCATATTTTCGAATTCGAATGAATAACATATGTCAGAGAGAATTCAATAGAAAATTAATAACAATATATAATATTTTAAAGAGTACAAATATCATGTCAAAGGGAATTTAATAAAAAAAAAATTAGAAGCATATGCATACCATTTTTACTGATTCAAATACCTTTTACCAAGTTTAACATTTATAAAAATTTAATTCATTTTTTAATTTATTTAATTTTAATTTTTAATTTACTTTTCAAATTTAAGATCCACTGAATTTTATAAATTGTAGTTGACAATAAAATAGGTTTGCCACCAAAATTTAATTTCCTTCTTCCCTGATTTTTTTTACTGATTTCTAGACTAAAATTTAACTTTTCCCTGAACCCTATAAAAATAAATTCACGGGGACCAATTTTTTTTGATCAGAAAAAAATCTAACAAAGAGAAAATTTTTGTCTAGAAATTTAACTGAGTCTATCTATTTTAAAAATAAAATTAATTACTGTGGATAATTTCTCTCGATTATTTTTAAAAATTTCTATAAAAATTCTTTAAAATTCAATTACTTTCAATAATTTTAGGAAATTTCGATAATTTTTACAGCATTTAAGGACATTTTATTTGTTTTTAGTAGACTTTAAGAAAATTTCATTTTTTAAATATAATTTTAGGAAATGTCAATTATTTCAAAATATTTTCAATTATTTTATGAAAATTCAATTATTTTTAATTATTTACTATGTAACTATTAAATTAAAATTTTTTTAAAATTCGATTTTCTCTAAAATTTTTAATTAAATTCTTTGTATTTTCCATGTTTTTTTAAAAAAATTTTTAATTAATTTTGATAATTCTTTAACAAAATTTTTGTTAATTTGTATCTTTAAGAAATTGTTATTGTTTTTAACTAAAATCTTTTATAAGTTAATTATAATTAGAAAATTTTAAAAACGGTATTCTATAGAATTTAATTATTTACTGAAATAAGGAAAAATAATTAAATTATTGTAAAATTCACTATTATCAAATAAATATTTACTTCAATCGAATAAATTTTATTTGATTCAATTAAATTAAATTATAAGAACATTTTTGCTGTAACTTCTTTAAAATTATTTTCATTATTTTAATTCAATTCTTATTTTCTAGAATTTTTAACTAAAATTCTACTTCAAATTAATTATTTTTATCATTTTTGAAAAAGTTTTTAAAGATTTTTCAAATTTATTTGCTTACAATTCAATTTTACGAAATTTCGATTAGTTTAAAAGATTCAAATTTTCAGAGACTTTAGTTTGAAACCTTTTTAAAATTCAATTATTTCTATAAATTCACGCTATAATACTTTAAACATTCAATTATTATCTAAAATTTTGAATTTCTGTAAAAAAATTTTATTATTGATGAAAATAATGGAATCATTGCGCGAAGAAATTTATAAAAAGTTTGTAAATAATTGAATTCCTGTGAAATTTTTATTATTTGTGAAAATAATTAAATGTTTCCGCAAAATTTTATTAAAATTTTATTCAAATAATTGAAATGTTGCCAAGAATTTTATTAAAATTTTCGAAAATAATTGAATTTCGGAGAAGAATTTTATTATTACTTTTGAAAATAATTGAATTTCTGCAATCATTTATAACTTTTCCAAAATTTAAGTTTTTTAGTTGTTTGAAAAGAAGTTATTGCCAGAAATAGAAAAATTTGAAGGTTTTGTATTAGATTTAAAGAATAAACACAGTAACTTTAGAAAACAACAATTTTCCAGGATTTCGAACAAAATTCCCTGACATTTCCAGGTTTTCCATGTTGCGTGGCAACATCTGTTAAGGCAAAATTGCTCGAAAATATTGCTGCATATAATTAATTTTAAAACTCCATTTCTCAGAAATTTTGCGTCTGGAACAAAATTAATGTTGCAGCAATATTTGCAAACTGCAATATAATTCTTCCCTATTTTTGATGAACAAAATTTAAATATAAAAATTGATAAGAATACTCTAAACTTTAAACACACTTGCGTTCAAATACTACAATGGTATTGGTGGTCAAGGGTATATATTCAAATTCCGAGGACATAGTTCTGACTTGTTTCGCGCAAGCCAGGTTCACGTTCGCGAATTAACACGAATAATACCGACGGTTTACGATGCCGCGAAGCGCGCGGAACATACGGTTATTTTTAAGCGCACCGCATTCGTGCGTCCTCGCGGTTGTGTTCAGGTTCTGTTTGATTTCTCCTATATAGATAATATGTATAATCAGACAAATCACGGTTGAAAACGCGATCATTCGGAAATAATTAAAAAAATTCCCATTAATGCAATATAATATATAACTTATAATACGCAAGAACAATGTCAATAATTTCAATTTTTAATTCATTTAATTTACAAATTTTCAATTTGTCTCTCGTTTTATATGTGATTGGATAAAATAATATATTTTGCATTCATATACATAAATAAACGTAGTGGTGCGGTGTTGATGATTTCAATTCCAAATTGTACCCGCCAAAAATTAAGCTCGAATTCCAACAAGGGGAAAATATCGACAAGAAATTTAAATTCGGTGAATGTTATTTTCTCATTATCATTTTCTAATATTAAGTATATACTTTTTTTGTGATAATTTGCATACGTAATGTCACTTTTGTGAAATACTTTTCATTTATTTCAATAATAGTTCAAATTACACGGAAATTGAGCACGTTCTTCTTGTGCATAAAGTAATGTTCTAAAATGAGCTTTCAAACTATTTTTAGGCGCGTAAACGTTTGATTCTTGCGGGAGAGATTATTTTCATGATCTTTGTCATCGTCTTGTTTCAATTTATATATAGGTATATAAAATAAATAATTAAGAAAGAAAATATTTTATTACCCAATAAAAATTGCGACTGAACCTATATTTAATTTTCCACTAATTTGTACAAATTGCAGAAAAAAATAAAACAATATTTTGTCAATAATTGAATCCTATATCTTTCAATTCTCTGAAAATATTTTGAATTTAAAATTGTTTTTCATACAAAAAAGTAAAAGAGAAATACTCTTCTATTATTTGATTAATGTTTATATATCGTTTTAATCATTATTTATTCTTAAAAAAAATTGTATCTGAAATATTCTTCTAGAATAGTTAAAATTAAATAAACTAAAAAACTAAAAAAAAAAAAAATGAAATAATGAATTAAAAAAGTCAAGTTCAAATTATGCTAAAAATACTAGTTTGCAATATTATTCGCACTCGCATGGTTGTTGTTGTTTACTTCTCAGTGGAGATGAATGGACTATTATTAATGGAAAGTGTCTCGCACTTATCAATGAAATATTTGAGGATTTATTTAACATTAATAATAGGTGTTTTGTTGCCTATTTATTTTTTTAACATTTATGACACAATTTTTGTTACACAATATATTACCATTTATTTTTGAATTCGCGTTCTTTTAAATTTAAGAATTAAAGTTCATCATTTATCATTTTGTTTATCAGTTTGTTAACTTTAGAATTAGTTAATATTTATATTAATTAATTAATTAATTAATTAATATTAGAGTTAATTAATATTATGATTATAAAGTAAATAAATTGAAATAACTGCATAATTCGACAATTTTAATTTGAAAGCAATAAATAACATTTCAGCAAAAAATTAACCATTTTTTCTATTTTTTTTTGCAATTTTTTAAATTTTTGGCATTTGATTTAGAGAATGTTTTTTTAAATAAAAAATTTCCTGATATTTAGAGAGATTCTTTTACATTCTTGACCGCAATGATCACATTGTAATTGAGCTTTTTTTTCGAGTTCAAAAATAAAAGAAGAAATTTTTTTGGTACATATCGAATCAAAATTCAAACGTGAAAATGACATTTGATCTGTTATTTGATATAGTGCAACGTCTCTAGGTCAAGTATATTTTCACGTATGAGTCACACACACATATCTAAAGAATATTGAAACGTGTTATAATATAACATCTGTGATATTATATAGAAAGGCGTAATGAGTAACAGACTCCCTGTACCACCCTCGAGGACCAGCGTTTCTCGTAGAAGAATCGCTAAATTGTATTCATCAACATCAAATGATCCCAATGGCAACACTAAAACATCCGTTAATCGACCGATTCCATTGAAAATCAAAAAGGAATCTTCTGATGATGAAATAAAGGTACGTCACCTCTTAATTTCAAATATTCTACTATTTTTGTTTTTAAATAATAATTTTAAATTTCTAACAAATAACAAGTTTTTTTTACAATAAATTCTGAATTTTCTACTATATATTATTATTAATATTTAGAACAAAATTTATGATTTGCGAGAAGAGTTTATTGACTTAGAATTGCGTGACAAAGGGTCACAAATTTGTTAATGACATTAGAGGTTGTGCGCTGCGAAAGTACAGGAAACGATTACAGGGCACTCCTAAAGGAAACAATGAATTTCCGTGCGATAATTTCAAGTGTATCTCCCTGAGCCGAGTCGAAAATTTAAAAAAAGAAAAATGATTATTCCACTTTGCAATACAAATTTATCGATTCAATAATAATAATAATACCTGTTGTAATTTAAACAATAAGCATATAATCCCAAGAATTACCATAAAAGATGACAAATATCAAAACTTGTACAATTCTAACTAATAATTAAACCAACAATCTAATTAAAAATTTAACTAACAATCTGATTAATAATCCAACTAACGATCTGATTAACAATCTAACTAACAATCTAATTAATAATCTAACTAACAATCTAATTAATAATCTAATTGATAATCTGACCAATAAGCCTAACAAATAATCTGTAAGTTTTCAGCAATTTTGTCACAAAATATTGTCTAATTTACAATGCAAGATTTCGACAAAATTGTTTTGTAAACTTTCTACAAGATTTTCAAGCAGAATTAAAATTTTTCCAAATAATTTTGCGTAAAACCAGAACAAATGCAAAAACCTATCGGAGTGCAACTCGATTTTTTAAACTTTATACTGCAGTATTCAATGTTCAACTGTATTTTCAAAGTTGTCGACATCATGATTTGAAATCTTACTCAAAGTTCACTATGCAATCTTGTGAAAACCTTACATTGTAAACTTCTCAAAACCTCTAGTAAGTTTGCTGCGAAATTTGTGAGAAATTTATTAGCAAACTTGATGAGAATTTTTCACTACTTACGTCTTCGAAACTTGCAGTGGAAGATTGCTATAAAGAACTACAAACAATCAAACAAAATCTCCTTTCGAAGAAATGAACTCAAAGACAAGATTCCCATCTAATAAGACCTCCAGTGAATCTCTAATTTTTTTCATAAAGAATCTAAATCTAACACGTCTCGCAGTAAAAATGAAAGAGTAAAGTAATTTTTTTTGCAATGATTGTTACACGTGTTACAAATACTCATACTATCAACTCTGTTCAGCAACTTGTAGTGGAGTTGTACAATATATTCCCTAGTAAACGAAGATGAGACGACTCTGTATACATATATATGGAAGCAATGGGTCTCGTGTTACTCTCCTTCGCCTGATTTATTCGGAATCATAATAGGCTGCAACACGACACCCGACGGCTTGCTTCTCATCATTATATCTTTTGCCTTGTGTATATGCTCACCTGAAGGTACTCGATTTCCCTGCGTGAAAAAATTTCTTTGCCACCTTCTCTTAACTACCGGCTACCATATACCCATTTTCATCTACATATATATAATATATACATATACATTTTATATCAAATTTCTGTTTTCATAAATTTACAATATTTCCAGCAATGAATACATCTATACATATTGAAATAGTAAAAATTTAATCCCCTTGAAATATATTACATTTCGAAATCGTTAAAAAAAAGAATTCGCATAAAAGTAGAGGGAAAAAGTGAAATTTCAATTTAAACACAAACAGATTCTACAAATGATTAAAGTAGTGAGAAAAAGTATAGTGAAATAATTTCATTAAAAAATTATGATTATTCTAGAGAAAACTTTTGTTTCGAAACTTTCATGATTTTGAAACTATACAGAGTATTATAGGGTGAAGCTATTCCGGTACCTGACTAATTTTGCACAGAGTTAGCACTTGCCGCTGTTCTTGTTGGAGAGAATATGTACCGAGCCGAAACATTTAAAGCCGCGGGTAAAAGTAATAGTTATTTCTACTGAATAGTAAGTCTGGTCGAACTGTCTGGCGTGCAGGTGAGCTTTCCCAGCGCACGCACGCATACATAATTGGATGCCTCGAATTTTGGTTCTCAAACTGCATTCTCCAACTGCCAACTATACTAAAAACGATTTCCACCCCTTTCACTCTCTTATATACAAACTAAAACTCGTATTCTATTACATTTCAACTTGCAATCGAACACTGCATTGCGGCGAATCTTTTATATCTTGCATTCTAATAAACTTGAAACATAAAAAAAAACTGCTATACTATAAAAACTACTATGACTAAAAATTAATTAAATAAACCAGATTAATTAAACTAATTCAAATTTTACGAGATTTGTAGTTTCATATTCGTATTCAATTGCAATCACATTCCATATTTTGTAAATATTATCTACAAATGTTCATATTGTGAATATTCTAAAAGTTTCACAGAAATATTAAATATATATAATCCAGTATGTTTATATTTTATGCAAAAATATAAATATATAATATGTGCATTATCATAAATGAACGTTGTAAATTAGTTAAGTTAGAGAAAAATTAATTAATACTGCAGTAATTTGATTTGCGAATCAAATTTCTTGACTGTATAATATTATATTAATTGCAACAAGTTGAAACTTGATATGTATAGATATAATTGCAAAAATTGAAATGACTCTTCGTTCATATATATATATATAAGATTCAGAGAATATATTTCATGCGTAATTAAGTTATTATTAAAACCAGACTTGGTCAGACTCCGACCAATCGGTTTAATCTTACAGAAAAGTTAATCTAAAGTTGGCCTCAAGCCATGAACCAGTCGCGCTTCTCTCAAGCTTTATTATATCTTCCTATTGATATTAACCATCGGTTATAGTTCGCAATAACAGTTTTATAGTTCCGTTTTACTATGACATACTCCCTCTATAAAGAATGAATTTTCAATTTGTCCAAATTTTAATTTTACTCTCAATAAAAATTACTATACCGATTTGTTTGTTGTTAAAATAATTATGACAATTATTACAGAAGTACCGAAAAAAATGGTTAAAACAGAACTAAAAAATTGTGATTGTTAACAATCACAATTTTTTAGTTCTGTTTTAACCATTTTTTTCAGTTTACTACAATGAAAATTTGAGATTCTTTTAATTTCAAAACTTCTGCGCTTTCCACTTACTTTTTAATTTACAGAATAAAGAAAAAAAATCTGAGTATATTTATCCAAAAGTTTCTCAACAACCTACATATCAAGTTTCCAAAGAATCATAAGAAAATATATAATATGTATGTAGTTTTGTACAAAAAGAAATAAGTCAAAGTATTTTTGAGGAAGTTCCGGTTGCTACCCACGCGCCACATTTGTCAACCCCATTTACTATGGTTCACAGTCTGCGACAACGTTAGATATCCACAAAACTGTAACTTGAACTAAAAACTTTAACAATTATTTTCCCTAATCACAAAAGCAATCCTTTCTTTTATTTTTATTGTCCTTTCTTTCACGAAAGATATAAATTACGAAAAATTAATTAAATCCTAACCACGAATTACGGTGGAAAAGAATTTCCAAAGAGGAAACAAAGTCTTTTAACCAAAATTTTTAACTGATCATCTAGAATTTTTCTTTATTCATTTGACGAAAATTCCCACTGACCAGAATTTGAATCAATTGGATAAAAATTAAATCAAGAAAAACGACTTTGAACTTAGGGGATATTACAAATTCGATGCATACAAGAAAATATTGTAACTACAAAGCGGTCATATCGTTTGGAAATCTGATCCAAGTAAAGTAATACAATGATTCCAGGTTTCGCGAAGGATAATAAGTGGGTTGATTATTGTAACGATACAGTGAAAAGATGCGCTTCAATATATTTATAAATAATAACAACTGTAATACGTAGTAAAACTTGAAATTTTGCAGAATGAATTTTATATTATAACAAATCGATAAAATACCCTCGCAACTTGAAATTTGATCACATATAATCCTAAAATTCATATTGAAAAGTAAAAAAAATAATAACTACAAATTAAATTAATCACGTAATATCAATTTATGAGGACTTACTGTAATTTGTTGAAAGTTTCTATATACTGAACATAGATCAGTAACTTGATCCATGGCAAAATGATCTTCGAACAGAGATTATAGGGATACTTGCACTGGTAACAGCATATAAAGACATATTTTTGCTTTTATTCTCGAACTTGTGAGTGTGTGTGCATATGTCTGTCACTGTATATAGAATTATATATATTCTTATTCTAATATATTTTAAATCTATATACATATTCACAGGTATATACATGAAACGACTAACTTTACTGTTCAGAAAAAGAAACCCAATACCCATCCACCTTGCATGTTGGCTTTTTCACGTCATACGTACGTTACGGATCATAAAACACTCTAACAAATGCATTTTCTCGTAAAAATTATCAACTTTAATGTTGATTAGAAAATTTTAAAAGAAATGAAATAAAAGCTACCGTGAAAAATGACCTTTCAATTTATTGATGGTTGTAATTGCCAAACGAAAGGAATATTTTTTACTCGCGCGATTTCAGTTAAGTGTAATGCAATTTACCAGAACTTTGGCAAGATTGCCTCATATTGCTAATGTTGCAAGTTGCAAATTGCAGCAATAGGAGGAAGTTGCATAAAAATTCATGATAATACTATAATTCATTTTATTCCTATTATTAGGTGTGCTTTAGATTTTTTAATGTCGAAAAATTGTATTTAAAAATAGTTATTGAAGACAGGAAGATGTGTTTATTTCTGTAAAGTGCATCAATTGTCGGCAAATTGAAAGCATTGCAATGACTAAATAAATGAAAATCGCGATCTTTCCGATTTAATTTGTATCTCCTTTCTTGCGCGCGCGAGTATAAAGGTGTCGTGCGAATAATGAATGAGATATCCAATGACACCAGCCGATAGACGCAGGATCGGATTTCTCACGCACACACAGGAAGTAGTAGTATCATGATGAGGATTGTGACTCCAGAAGATCGACACACACACACAAACTTATTTTCATGCAGGTGCCTATATATAAAAAGCTCCAATTGTAATTTAAAAGAAAAAACATTACGGGAGACAAAAATTACTTTACTTCCAAACAAAATTATTTATCGCTATTTTTTAAGTAAACATTAGCAAAGCTAACATTGACTGAAAAGTCTATGAATTTCCCCTCGTAATTAAATTCGTATTTGTAAATGCTTTAACAGCATCACTGTTTAAATCTGAGTTAGTGAAGTCTTCAACTACACACAGTTTTTCTAAGGATATCAAATTAAGACAAAGAACATACCAAAATTTTGGATAATTTCAATTATCACAGTTTTTTTTAAAAGATATCAAATTGAGACAAAAAATGTTGCATCACAACAATTTTGGTATGTTTTTTGTCTCAATTATCCAGGAAATAATCCAGGAAAACATTTTCGCAAGGAAGAGCGATAAGTTTTTCTAGAATTTAGCGAAATTTTGAACTGACACTAACGGCAGGGACATAAATTTTTACTGAACTGAATTAGCGGATGACTCTTTAATAATTCAGATTTAGAGAGCAAAAGTTGTCTGTGTATAACACTGTCAACTTAGGAATCTAAAAATTTCAGATTTAATGCAACTGCAATAAAAAATGTTCCCTTAGAGTTGAGTTCCCTTTCAAGTTGAAGTAACAAGGTTGCTTTGTGCTTAAACATTCTGTCTCACAGATTACTACAGCAATAACTCAGCTTAGAATTTTCGGATTCCAAAGTTGACAGAATATCAGTTCAAATAGACCATGTTCCCACCAGTACTGGTTCCCACATGGTTCCCCCAATATTTTCTAAAAAAAAAACTTGCAACAGACTTCCGAACTTCGCAACTTTCTATCCTTGTATCCAAATTTAAAGAAGATCTAAAAGTTCAATATAAGTTAAAGTAAAATTACAGTAAACAAAAATATTTTAATCGAAAATCCTGACATGTTTCCTATTCGCATTCTCATCACGAGAAAGTATTATTTTTTTTCTCCACGTACATTCATCACATAAAATAAAAAAAGAGTTGCGAGACTAATTTCATTCAAGTCTCACACGTTAATATGGGCAATGTAATTTTTGCCGAAAGAGATCAGGAAAAACGATCCTGTGACATCGTTATACCATTGTTGATATTATTACTATTATTATGTGGTGTACAATGGACGATGAGGGTAAGAAAGGCTCAGTGCACAGTGTAACCGAGACGGGCCGACTAATGGATTGATCCACCCGCCACGCGATATCCCGATACCTATATCCGTGTATAGAAATACACATGCCTGTATGTGTACAGTTTACACACACGCACTTTTCACAGTATCACATTCAGCTTTATCTATACGTAAGCCCTATTCGCAAATGTGTCGGCATGATACATAAATATACACATATACAAGTGTGTGCCACTTCATATGCGCCCTAAATGCACCACAAGATACACAATTTATTTCAAATTTTCCATTTAAATATAAAATTCATTCTGCAAATAATTATTTCAGAAAAATATTATAAAATCAGGGGGAGGGGGATTTAATTAACTTTTATAAAAGCATCTGTTCAATTTCAGATAACAATATAATAATGTTACATTTCTGTTTTTCCATCATCAGAAATAATGATCATTTGTATACAAATTTCTGTTTTTATCCTCTCGTAATATTATGTTCTCTCTAAATCTGAAATAGTGATAACTGTATACCATTACTTGCAATTAATTTACATACGCACTGGTACATACGCAATTGGTAAAATTTTATTAATGTGCTATTTGAAATTAATAGTAAACTATTTTGATTTAGAGATTAAACAGATTTGAATCAATTAAATACTTAGTGGAAAATCTTGTTCCAACTTTACTAAATGCTTTTGTATAGAATAAATGACATTAATAGGAACATCAATATTGAATCGTTAGTATATGTCTTGAAAATGTTACTTGATATTTGACTAATCCTTTTTCTTATAACGAGGCTCGTTACTTTCTATCAAGGTTTAAAAAATCCTAAGGGATCTAATTTCTCATTGATCGTTCAATGTAAGTCACAAGAAAACGGATTTTCTTACTTATTATCAACAACGAGGAAATAGGAGTTTTATATTCCTATAAAACAATTTGATTTTTTTTCTTTAGATATCTTTTTCAAAACAAAAGAAATAACAAACTACCATGGATAATTCCTTTCGTAGAATTTAATTTTTTCTTAATTTATCAAAATTGTTCACCTATTTTTTTTGTTTTTAACTCAAGAAGACAAAAATTACAAAATGTAGAATAAATACTTTTATCTTCTAATATTTACTTACAGGAATATGCAGCTTCAGCAATGAGTGAATTTTTGGGATTGTACGGTTACGAAAAAGTGGACAGTGGATGTACAAGAGGTTTAAATTTGGATCACTTTGTATCGTCCGCATCGGGCAAACAGAATTCTTCACGAACTCTGACCCGTTCTTTAGCATCGAAAGCAGTTGCTGCCTCCAGTTCGCCAATATCTACAAATCCTTCCGGTTCACCCCATTCCAGATCGTCGAGGTCACCTCCCACAAATATCTCTGTGATATCAGTTAAGGAAAACAGTGGTCCACCAACATCGTCATCACTCTCATTACAAACAGGATTAACAAGTCCCCGTGCCCATGAGAATAGTGATTCAGCATCCGATTCTCCAGGTGAGATCAAATTTAATATTTCCGTCGATAAGAAAATAAAAATAACCAAAATGAAAGCAAACACCCTCTTCTAATTTAGCGAAACACTAAAACGCTCTTCTAATTCATTATAGCTGAAGATACTAACAAAAGTTTTGTTTCATCCAAATAATTTTTTTTTTCAAACTTCAGCCATTTTATATTTTTTCTTTTTTTGCAAAAAAATAAAATTTCCGCGTTATTACAGAGGAAGCCAAACAAGTGACAAGATCAAATTTTGAAGTGGAAAGACTTGAAAGTTTTGATTTGTTATACCTTTGAAAACGATGATAATGATGATGATAATGATAATGAAGAGGAGTTAATTGAGGAGAGTGGTTTGTGACTAAATATAAACTTTAAGAAGTTTAGAAAGTTCTGGTACAACTTGCATGAAACCGTAAAATTCTTCAATTACTATACATAGGCATCTGTGTTCAATTTCATACCTATATACTATCATGTGTAACTTTATATTTTACGTATCTGTAGAATTTTGATGCCATCATATATATGATTCAAAAATTTATATCAAACATTTTAACTCATTTCCAAATAATCTGTTTCAAAGTTCGTACAAATCGTCAGATAGTTAAAAGTACCAAGGATTATAAAGTTTCCCTTGCTGTTAAAATTGAACCGAAAATTTCAATACCGCAAATTATTCATGGTCTATAAATAGTAAAAAAACTTTTTTACATACAAATTTTCGAATAACTAAAAGTCGTTATAAACTACATTTGACATCAAAGGAAAAACTGAATAACCCGACTCGACAATTACACAATGCCAGGTGTGAATTTCGTCTATGAAAATGAAGAGCTTAGAGATATTTTCATTAAGCGAAACATTGTTTCGGAAACTTTGGTGAGTATTCTAAACAGAATCCAAAGTCAGCCCGATCACTTGGACACGAGTATTTTAGTAACCTCATCGTCTTCCAGTCTGCGTTTACTTCGTGATACGGAAATAGCTCAACGCAATCCGATATGGGGCTCTTTCTATAAGCTTAAAGTATTGTTGAAAAAAAGATCTACTCCACAAATAAGCAAATCAACTCCCCAATGAAATAAAAAGCTACATTAATTTATTTTGTGTCTAGATTAAATGTCTATCTCTTCTATCAAATATACACATTTATAAAATCTTCTATTCAATAAAAAAATCAAATTTCAATCTTTAAAATTAGAAAACAATAGCGAAAGTAGATAAAAAAAATCCTCATAATTCATTTCTGAATTTTGCATATTCATTTCTTGAAATTAGGGTTAAATAAAATAGAAAGAGGAGCTAATTAGACTGATGTTTGAAAAGGACGAAAGGAGTCTAGATCATGGATATCAAATAGACACGTTGAAGCAATCGACTGTGTATATTTTCGGATACATTTGCGCAGTAGCACGGTCGGTGGCCTTCGGTAATTCAAAGCCTTCTCTTCTTTTTCCTTCGCGCTTACCCACACGCACAAATATCTATATAGCTGATTTCCGATTTTATTCTCGCCTTTGAAAATCTATCAGCGCAAACACACGGATGCATGGTGAATGAGAGAGGAGAAGATGAGAATGAAAAAGGATTGAAATTCTCTAATTTCATTACGTGTCAAACTTTTCGTAACATTTTACACCGTTTTCCATGGTAAAATCAGAATCGAAAGTTGAATGCTATCCAGAATATCGAATGGGACAGTAAAGTAACGTGGATCAGAAGCAAAGCTTGAAACCCTAGAAGCTCCTATGACGGAATGGTTCGGATGGGCAAAAGGTGAAGCTGCAATGCCAAATAAACAGGGGTTGCTTGACGGAACGTGGGAGGCGAGGATGCAGCTGTAATTATTTACTACTACGACATTGGAGAAGCCCCGACTTGGAAAAGATGTGACTCCGAAATGTGCTGTGTAGAGTCACGTTCAAAGGTGACTCGATACGCAACGTTCAGGTGTCAGCAAGGGATACACCCTTGGCCAGACTATTTTGCCTCTTTTTTCTCCTCCCCTCACCCCCTTCTTCTACTTATCTTTATTCAGCTACACTATTAACGCGCGTTCATCAAATCTTGATCATCAAACACTTCTATAAATCCAAACGTTAAAATTGTTTAAAACTACAAAAATGACAATCTTACCCTAAATTCAAAGAAAATTTACCTGATTCAAAGAATTATTTATTACCTAATCCAAAGAATATTCCTTTAAAAATAATGTAAAAAGTATTGAAAAAAATAGTTTGAAGCATAAACGATATGTATACAATTTTACAAGGTTTCATACATCCTTATATGTTTCTATTAATCATGACCCAAACGAGAAATAAAGAAAACTGAGAACGCTGTATTGAGACGTAATACTGATCGTTATATGAGTATTACTTGATATGCAATTTAACACAGAGGGACTCATGTGTAAGTTAATCGTGCGTACTATGCATACAGAGCAAATTTTTGCAAACGATTACAATTTCGAGAGTAACAATATACATCATATTACTAATGTTCCTGTCATTAAATATATATAAACGTATATAAATATAATAGAATTTCAAGTTTTTTTTCATCTACATCAACAATTGTTACTTGAATACTTGTCACTGTTCACTTCATCTGTGTATAATGTTACGGATGCTGAAGATCTCTTTACCATGTGAAAGCGTTTTATTTCTTAACGTGTTCATCCTGAAAATGAGGGACTGATCTTATCATTTGATACATCAGTTATTTCAAAAGTGTTGTCATGATATATCATGTGAAACATTAAACTGATGGTAAAATTTAGTAAAAATTTTAAAATGTGAAGAGAATTTTGAAAATAGTAGATTTTAGATATAATAAATATTTCTTGTATTTTAATTGTGTTTGATTAAAAAAATGAGTTGGATCTTTAAGTAATGATAGATGAATTTTTTTAGATGGTGCCACGATGTGTTCTTGGTGTGGCAGAGCGGAAGGTACTTGGGAACCTGGAGGTGCTTATGTTACCTATGGAAGGGCAAGTGGTTCAGGACAATTCTGCAGTGAATCTTGTTTTGCCGCTGGTAGACGAGCAGCTTTCAAAAGGGCAAGAACGTGTGATTGGTGCAGACACGTTCGTCCTTCAATGAGCTACACCGATTTTCAGGTAAAAAAATTTACAAAAGTAATTAAACTATCGGAATTTAAAAATAATAATCCAAACTTAATATTGCTATAAATATTTCTAGGATGGAGACAATCAACTTCAATTTTGTAGTCAAAAATGTTTGAATCAATATAAAATGAATATATTTTGCCGTGAAACACAAGCACACTTGGCCCTTCACGGTATCAATGATACAATTTCCTCGACGAATCTCGGAACTGGTAATTTAATAACACCAGAACTTTGGTATCGTGATTGTATATCACCATCGAGTCGTTCTGAAGAATTAATTGTCGATGATGATCCAGTGACTAGATCGTCATCAACTCACGACGACGATGAATCATTAAATAAAGAAGATGAGGATGAAGATGAAGAGGAAGAAACCAAAAGAGAAACCAATAATAGATGCAGAAATTCTTTTCGCAGTCGTGATAATGCAAGTAGAAAGAAAAATGAAGATCACGATGTGACAGTTGACGAAGAAGAATCTTTTACAAGAATTAGAAAAAATTCCGAAAAAGAAGATGAATCTAGAAGACAAAATAAACAGTTCATGGAACAAATAAGACTTCAGTTTCCAACGGAAAATCTTTCAAAATTCGGAACATCTATTTCGCCTATTATTCGAGATCGAAGTAAAGATTATATCAATTCAACTATTCAGGATTTAGGAAGTTCTCATGAATCTGAAGGAATTGCGAGAGAATCGTTCATTATGAAAGACACAGTCGAATCGGCACCTAAGGAAAATAGCAGAGGACGAAGAAACATTCGATACGGGTAAGAACAAGATAATTTCTCTTATCAAACAGATAAATAAAAATAATTTTCAAATTAGTATTTCTTTTCAGACTAATTAGTTTCTAATTATTATTCGGAAATTTTGTGTTATTTCAGAATGACGAAGCCAAAAAAAAGTTCAAAATCACCAACATGGACATCAGAACACTCAACTCCACCAATATCACTCATGACTAATTCAACCCCGAGAATGGCACATCCTCCGAATACACCATTTAAATTTCCAACACATCCGGGAATGCTTTCCGGAAGACCATTATTAGTGAGACCACCAATGATTCCCCTTCGTCCCCAAATTCCATTAAATTCACCCTCATCATCCACATCATCAGCATCACCATCATCGTCTTCCCTTCTACCACCTGTTACTGTTTTAGTTCCATACCCAATACCAATACCAATTCCAATACCGATCCCATTGCCAATACCAATATTTACTAAACTACTCAAAGGAAATAGTGATTTGTTAACGAAAGATGAAAAAGTTTCTTCAGGAGCATCGATACCGGAGGACTTGTCAAAGCGAAAAGTTTCTACTCCAGAGGCAAAAGTAACAAATGAAATTTCAGAAATAACAAAACCTCCCTCACCTTCCACGTCAGATTTAAAGACGACGCAAATTTATTCTAACGAAATAGTAGACGAAAAAATTAAACCAGTTTGTTTAACGACAAAAAATTCGCGACCCTCGCGAAAGAGAAGACGAAATCCAGAAAATTCTGAAGAAATTGATATACAATTGAAACGAAAAATGTCAGTTTAGAACGTTTATTAACGTCACGAAAAAAGAAAACTTTTCAAAAGCCTCTAGCCTTCTCTTTATATGGTGCTACTATATGATTTATATAGTTGTGTTTTAAATGTACAATTTATGTTTTAAATAATGTATTTTATCTATTAAAATTGATCGTGATCTTTCAACTATTATTATTATACTTACTGTAGAATTCAAGAGTAAGCCCTTCTGTGATTCCATTTTATTCTCGTTGTCAAAAAAAAAGGAAAAGAAATTTTTTTTTCCAATTTCAGAATAATAAAATATTTTATGACGTTCGAATAATGAAGTCTTCAATTAAACCAAAGAAAATATTTCTGAAATATTCCATTGAAATTATTTTCAAATTTCAAAAATAAAACATTTAAAAAATTGTTCAACTGAAAATTCCTAGTATAGAAGAAATACTTCTCATAGAAGTATTTTCAATATTTAAAATATTAATTATTTATATATTAAATATTCAAAATAGTTCCAACGTCAACTTTTTAAGAATAAAATATAATTTCATTTAATCCAGTGAGACTAAAAATAACCGCGAGTTTATTAAGTTTTTTTTTAATTATAAGATGTTAATTTCATTTTAAATAATTGTATACGATTTTATAAGTTTGAGGATTAAGTTTATGGTATTTTTACAGGAATATAATTAAAAAGAAAAGATATCTTTTAGTATCTCAATATATTACATATACATATCAGATTTTGGAGCATGAATTAAAGAAAAGTATCAAAAAAAAAAAAAAACGTTCAAGTATTTTGCATTATTAAACTGAAACATTAATAAGGTAAACATTGTTCATATTTAACAATTTTCATAATTCAAAATTATCTAATTTTTACCTCATTTTTAAATGAAATGTAATTGAAATTTACACTTTCATATTTAAATGAATAATTCTTCAAAGTTCCATTCCTATATAAATACTTGAAAACCAGCACAGCCTTAATATCCTAAACTATAAATCAGTAACTATAGTCATAACTATAGTTAACAGTCCAGTCGATATCCTCAAAATCTAAGAAATAATAATTCTCATAGTAAAAATATAGACATCTATTATGAAATAATATTGTAATTTCCTCTTTTTGTTTATGAGGTAAAAAATTATTGGACTTTGGAACTTTAAAGATCTATTCCTCGCGACCATATTCACTAATAATTCAGTCGTAGCGTTTTGCTCTCGATGCTCATTATTTTTTTCTAGAAGATTTATTTTCTAGTCTAGATAAGGCAAGAGAATAACGCTTTTGTAAAAAGGATACTTATCTTTGGCTCTTTGTACTTTTTCTTTCTTTTTCTTTTTAAACCAGTTTTTCATATAATATATGTATATGTAGAAAATGTGGTTCTTTAATTTAATAATTAATTTTTGTTTGTAAATAATAATTTTCAATTGTAAAGGTCCCAAAGAGAGATAACTCCATCTTTACCAGTTGCTGCCATCAAACATTTGCTATTGTAAGACTCGACTTTACCACCTGAGTATGCGATATCATAAATACCACCTCGATGCTGATCCAAAACAGCCAGAGGCCTCAATGATTTCCAGGAGAAAATTCGTAATCGACCATCCCAACCTCCAGTTGTAAATACTTTGGAATCAGGCCTTGATGCAACAACAGCGACACCCTCATTTTTTATCGTTAGCACAGTTTTGAGATTCAAATTGTTTTTCTTAATATCAAAAACCTTATTGGAAAAAAAAGATTTTTTTAAACACTTTTAATCCATTAGTCAGCAAAATTCTAACACTTTATAGGAATAATTTTGTAAAAAACAATGAAATATTTTTAGATAAACTTCATATCGATCAAATGGAAATTGCGCAAAATTGATAAAAAATTAACAAAACAAATGATTGAACAAACATTATTCCTACAAAGAATTAAAATTGTTTTCTAAAAAGCAAACAATTTTATTACCTCTAATTTATTTGTAGAACTGCCAACAATTCCTAATTTTAAAGTTTCATCTAAATCAATACTGAATGGACACTGTTCAATTTTCAACCATGATAAAATACTTTTCATTCTCAAATCCCATAAAGCTATGTCGCCACTTTCATAAGCTGCCAATATTAATTTTTGGTCTTGAACACAAGGCTTAATGGACATCAATTCTCCGAGTTGTTTTATTTCGCTTTCAGCCAATTTTTGTGAGTCTAATTCCACCTCAATTTCAGAAGATTTCAACGAAAATAATCCAATTACAGAATTCCTCAATGGAACAAATATCGAGTCCTCAGAAAGAACCTTACTCCTAAATAGAGAAAACAATAAGAAATAAATACAAACAATTTGATTTCAACACCAATCCATGTTTAAACTTTCGAAATTTATTCACTAAAAAATAGAAACTGTCGAGAAAAATTCAATTTTGATTTTTGAATTTCAATAATATAAGATTTTCAGAGCTCGAACTAGGTCCGTAAATCCTGTAAAAGTCCATAACTTTGCTTGAAGTCCGTAAAAGTCTGTTTTTTTTAAAAAAAGGTCCGTAAAGTCCGTAATTTGATTCAAAAAGGACGAAAAGTTCGTAAATTGTACGATATAATTTGAATAATTTTAGAGAAATTACAAATGATTGCAGAAATTCAATTATTTTCAAAAGTAATCAAATTCTTCGCAGAAATTCAATTATGTTCAAAAATTTTTAAAAATTCTCATCAAAATTTCAATTATCTTCAGAAATAATTAAATTCTTCTCCGAAAATCGATTATTTAAAAAAAATTTAATTAAATTCTACACAAACTTTTCATTATTTTCAAAAAAATGATAAAAATTTTACAGGAGTTTCATTATTTACAAATTTTTTTATAAATTTCTTCGCAATCATTCAGTTATTTTCATAAATAATAAAATTTTTACGGGGATTCAATTATTTTCGTAAATAAAAAAATTCTTTTTAGAAATTAAATTATTTTCATTAATAATAAAACTCATTGCAGAATTTTAATTATTTTTAATACAATTTTAATCGAATTCCTCGAAAAAAATTATTGAAAATTTTATTAAAATTCGTTGATAGAATTCAATTATTTCAAAATTTGTTAATAAAATTCTTTATGGGAATTGAATTTTAAGAAATATCCAATTGTTCAATAAATTATTTATTTTTGTAGTTAAATAATTGAATTGTAGTAAAATTTTGTAATAAAAATTGATTTAAAAATGGATTTCAGTTAAAATTTTAGATTATAATTAAATTTTAAAAGCATTAGAGAGTAAATTTTTGGAAATAATTTAATTTTGAAAAGGTTTTTTTGAAATTTTTTAAAATTATTTTAAGTTTTTATTTTCTAATACATATTTAATTGAAGAATTTACGAATAATTGAAATTTTGTAAAATTGAATTGTAAAGAAATGAATTTGAAAATTCTGAAAGAACTTTTTCGATTTAAAACGAGACCAAAAAGGATTAAAATAAGATCTAATTCAAAATAATTTAAATCTACTTTCCCCGTTGGATAAACAAACACGGAAAAAAATCATTTGGAACAGCGATAAGTTTTCTCTAGGTTAGCGAAAGTCAACTAAAAATTTCGTTAAGTTAGTTGAATATGTATCTATTACAGATAACATTTTTCTTTTCCTGAATGGTAACCAAGAGCAATAAAGACATACTTGCAAAAACTCGTTGCTTGTGTCTCAATTGTTTTGTCAAGAATCCAATTAGATCCATCTGCATTCCAGATATTAAATGAACCAGTTTTTCTTTGCGTTATGAGACACTCGTCATTAAGAAAATTCAAAGACTGGCATTGATCCTCAAATTTTGTCAATCTATATATCTCTCGATTCCTCTGAAAGGCATACATACAGTTTATTTGTGCGTAAATAAAATACTATAACCCCAAAGACTCCTATCTTAGATATAATATAAACACAGAAATCTTCAGGGAAAAAATCAAACGAAAACAAGAAAAACTAAAGAAAATGAACTTCAATTAATTTATCAACTTCCTATTATATTTAAACATATTCGTGAAAAACGACAAAATGAGAAATTACGCAGAAAAAATACCTTTAAATCCCAAATATGAATTATGCCACTTTCAGTTCCTGCATAAATATGCTCAACATAAGGAGAAACTCGAAATAAAAGACTGTGGACGGGACCCATGTCACCACGCAACAAATAAGCCGGATCAGGAGGAAGAATTGCCATTTTTTATCACTAATTATAAAACGTTTTCACTTGTTTTTATCAATAATATATGTTTTCAAATATACAACGTATTTAGAAACCACAGTAGAAGACGGGAGGCTCACGACACGTTACAAAATAAACTTACTGAATAAATGAATTTGCATCCAACTATTTGCTCATTATTATTGAATTAGATGCAGAAAACAATCAAGTAATCTACACATATCGATTAAATGTGAAATCTATTAATTTTGATGTCTGTCAAACCATTTTTTGGTGGAACGCGTCGTTCGGACCTCCCGTCTTCTTCCTTTCCTTCCTCTATTGTGGCCATATTTTTGCCCTTGAATTTGTATTGTATATATGTGTGTGATTACCGGCTCAATGAGCAAACTGTCAACAGGCATCAGCTGATGAAAATAAATACCAGTCAACTTCTCATGGGACTTGAAATAATAATTATTTGAAAATTTCAGATTCCTATCTTTATAAATAAACTCTATTTACTATATATAAATAGAATTATTTTCGAAAATAAAAAGAATTTTCATTTTAAATGACGTAGATTTTAAATGAAAATCAACCTTTAACTTATTGTAAACGCGTGGAATTATTATTGAGATTCGGTGACTCAGATTTTAAAGTAAACACAGCTTCGAACGGACACCGAGGTCATAAGCAGTGCAATCGCAAAAAAGAGTAGCGCGGAATATAAGTTTTAAATAAACTAATAGTAAAATGTTTAAAAAATACGTGAAAATAAAGAATAATATTTAATGTTTTGCCTAATTAAAATTAGGCGAGATTGATTAATTTTAAATAAATTAACAAGTAACTTATTAAACTAAAAAATTAATTAATTGTAAAAAGATTAATTAATTAATTAAGTTAATAAGAAACTTATTAATGTCAAGAATTAAATAATTGTAAAAAATTAATGAATTTAATTTACAAGTAACTTATTGATATCAAGAATTAATTAATTACAATTATAACAAATTAATCAATTCAATTAATAAGAAACTTGTTAATTTTAAGAATAAATTAATTGTAAAAAATGCTTTAATTTGTGATAATTCACATCCCTCCCAAAAATATAATTTTAGATCAATAAAAAATGTATAAGAGAAATATAAGAAATGTAGTGAAGAAATAAATAGAAAATTCAATAGTGATCAGTGGATACAAATATTAAAAGTTAATCATGACGCAATAATTAACTTTTAATTAAAGAATAAAATAGTAACTGTGAACTGGAAATATAGTCGCTTGCCCTGCTCTAAACTAAACCAAACATTAATTGTGAAATTGAAATTAATAAATATTTTTAGTATTATTGAAACTGGTATACATTTTTGGTAATGAAAAAATTACTGTTTGTAAACAATAAAATCTCAATTACAAAATTTGATTAAAATTTCAATATTTTCACATTGTGATAAAACAATGATGTTCGCGTGCACCAAGAAAAATAATGCCTGACTCTAAGAAATTGAAATACATAAATATTAACCAAAAATCCACTTTCCAATTGAAAAAATATCTATGTTCAATTAAAATGAAATATTAATTCAATTAGATATGTCACTAAAGAATTTTTTTGTTAAGACACATTACAACTTAACTCCGACAGATTAATGGAGATAAGAGGGACTTACTCATTGTAGATTATCTTCGTCGATGGAATATTTTGAGTCCCTCTTTCTGATATTTACTTCCTTCTCATCCAATTTGCACGGATTGGATCAAATTCATTGAAAATGAATGAATTTACAATTTATATGTCCTCTGTGCGGATTCTCTTGACATTCACGCATAGTCTTCACCGAGTCATCAGAATGGAGCACTGTCAATAATTAAAACACAATTTCGATTTATACGTATTTGCTTCAAATACTGAAATTATTGGTTAAAATACCATTTAATTGACTCCAATAAATATTATTTAATTCAAGTAAATATTTAATTGATAATAGTCAATTAATCGGTTATTAGAATCAAATAATTTTTTTTCAGTGTATTAATTAAAATAGAAAATGTCTACTTAATTAATGAATTATTGAATCAATCAAATCGTCGAACCAGTTAAATTAAATTTTTTCAAAATTATTTTTGAAAATTTAATATTTTCAATAGAATATTCACCTTGCGGTTGTGTAAATCGTAAAATATGAGTAAATAAGTAAATTTACAAAAATTTTGATTAATTCTTTGTTAATTTTTATTATATTTATAACGAAAGAAAAACTAATCAAATTTTGGCGAAACCCGATGAAAATAAAAGACAATAGAAACACACTAACATAACCTTAAATTTATAAGCAATTTTCTAGTTAATATTTTGGAAAACAAATTTTTGTTATTTAGGTCACGAAATCCGTTTATAAAAATCAAATTAATTTAGAACAAATATTTTTCCAAAGTAAATAATTTTATATATTTTCCTAATTCCTACAACAAAAACTATTAAACTAAATGGACAGGATGGTACGTCACTATCCAATAGCAATAACATTAAATTTTCCTCCACACACTCAAGTTGGGAAAAATGTTCAATACACTACTAAGAATTTCACATAATTCTTTTCTTTTTTCTGGATATTCACCTCGAAATTTAGCAAATCAATAAGAATTTGAAACAAATTGTGTGTAAAATTGACGTAAACAAAAGATGTTGCGATAGAAAACTAGGAAAATGTTCAGTTTTTTTTCCGGTCTGTATCTCCGAACTCCATTTCATATTTTCTTTTCCGATTAAATATTTTAAAGAAAAAATTACAAACTACTCTATATAATTATAATGAACACTATTATTAACTTCGATTGCAATTACAAAATATATTTTTTAATTATTATTGACAAATGTATTACCTGTATCATTTCGTTCTTTGATTCCATTTCTTCATATGTTTATGTTTGCTAAAAATTCTTGACATTATGGAAGAATAGCGCCACGCAGCAACGGTGGCAATATTGAGAATTATAAAAAACTTCTTTATCCAGTATAGATGTCGCCTGCAAACTGTTCCAGTGCTCACTGAGAGTGCGCTGTGAAAACGACGGTATTTACGTAAAGCGCCTAGTACGCATTCACTTGTTCCTGAGCGCTGATTGGTGCGGGCTCTCATCGTCGAAATCCTACGCGCTGATTGGTAAAGACACTCGTAGTCGAATCCTACTGCATAGATTACCACTTTACCTGTAACATAATTGTCATCCATTTGTTTCCAACATCCTGTTCATTTGGATATTAGTTTTCAATAAAAAATACCGCTTTAATAAAAAGTGGTAATTTGTTTATGACACAAGTGCATATAATTAACATTGCATATATATGTACTTGTATTGTCTTGTTTCTTGGTTGTCAATTCCACTTCTTCTTTATTCATTCTGGTAGAAAGTTCTTACATTACTGTAAAAGAGCGGCAGGAATAATTCTTGCTTAGTCGTTAACGTTGTTAATTCCACTTGTTCTTTATTCATGCTGATGAGAAGTCTTTACATTACTGTAAAAGAGCGCCAGGAATAAGTAGTAATAATATTGGAAACTAAAAAATTTTCTTCGAGCAGCACAGATGTTGCCTAGTAACTCTTCAAGGTCTCACTGAGTGCGCGCTGCAAGAACGGCGGTATTTACGTACAGCGCCCTGCTCACGTCCACTGGTTTCTGCGCTCTGATTGGTGCGGGCTCTCATCGTCGAAGCCTTGCGCGATGATTGGTCGAGCGGGAGCGTAAATATCGTGCGCTTTTCCCCCACGCTTCAGTTCGCTCTGGGCGCTTCATGACGCAAGGTCTGCGCTCCTTTAAGGAATTGTTTAACACTTCTAATTCTACTGCATTAGGAAATTATTCTTATTTTTCATCAATATTAAATACGTAGCAGCATCAATCGACTAAATGAGCATGATATAGGAATATGAATTCACGGTTTTTACGTGAAACACCAACTACAATAGGAGGGATTATGGTTAGTATGTTATTCCTTTTCATAGTAAATATATTCTTGTAGCAATGTAATAAAATATGATATTTATTGCTGAAATACGAAGTTCTCCATAATAATTAATACTAAATCTAGTACACAGAATAATTATATTAAAATTTGAAAAATTATTTTACATTCTTTAATTTTATCTACTAGTATAATTTGTGTTCATCAAGTGGCGCCATCTTGATAGAATATTTTATATTAGTAGTCAGTATATAATAACAAAGTGTTATTAAAATTTTTTTTATAAAAGTTATTTAACGTAAATTACAGTTTAGTTTTATCGAGACTATTTCAAATATGTGAAACATTAATCGCAATATTAAACGGAAAATGGTAAGCGCCATCGCCATAGTAATTGTTTTCCATATGATTACAAAACAGTACTTGAAATTTTCAACCTGTTGAAAAAGACAATTGTAGGAAACAAGTACAGTGGAACCTCGATTATCCGAACCTCTGTTATCCGAAACCTCTATTATCCGAACCGAAAATCATTTTATCCGAATTTCTATTATCCGAACTTTTTTTTGGCTATCCGAATTTTAAAATTTATTTTCTCTATTTATTTTATTACTTATGTTTGTTTATGCCAAAAAAGTCTTAAAAAAATCATATATTGTGTTTTATTAATATATTATTATAAATTAATATATATACTTATATATCTTTGAAAAATGTATTAAATTAAATATGTACATATAGTTCAACTGTCCAATTTTTTTACTTTAATTATGAAAAACATTAAAACCTCTATTATCCGAATTTTCGATTATCCGAATCAGGCCGTGCCTAGGTTAGTTCGGATAATCGAGGTTCCACTGTATACATTCATACTTCTATCTAGACAGCAGTTGTTTTAATTATTTTCTTTATAGGTTATATATATTTAACATTTTGTTTTCAATACGGCAAAGTTACTTCTTTGAACAGTAACACTGAAGCCGTATTTGAGGTTAGGCTTCTCTATTATTTCTACAAGATTCTGTCTTTAATTAAAATAATTCTCTATTATTAGACACTAAACTAGGCAAAAAATGATCGCGTACAATAATATGTAGGCAATACAAAGTACTATGTCAGTTAATTGAAATAAAATTTAATTTCTTCATAATGATATATTAGTAACAATAGATAAATGTTTCACTTTCTCTTAAATTTTATACTTATTTATTAAATAAATATTAACTTTAAATAAATATTGTTATTAATTAGGAACATTTTACTATTCAAATCTATTTAAGTTTTATTAATATTAGACAAATAAATTGTTATTGAATCATATTAATAATGCAATGGAATTTTCGTGCATAAAAGGAAATAATCAGCTTTCAATTCGATTTCTTTTTATTGATTTATTTACTTGGCAAATAAAAACCGTTGCTCCAGTTCTACAATGACCGTTAAAAAATTGTATCAGCAGTTGACAAGAGGTCAAAGACATCAATTAATTCAAACGCACAGTTTTTCGTTATTTCGATTTACTGTTTAAATATTTCGTCGGAGAAATATTTTTCTAAATAATATTTTTTGCATTAATAATATTATATTATATTTTTAATTAATATAATTTATTAATTTTAATCATTTTACAAAATATTGAATATTTATTTACTTTTTAATATTAATAATAATAGTAATAATAATTTTAAATAATACGATCTAGAAGAAATATTAATTTTATAAATTTGAATTTTTAAATGATACTATTTTATTAATAAAAGGTATTTTTATTTATTAATTTAAATTTAATAGTTAATTATTAGTTATGTTACTTAAATAAATTTCTAAATAAAATATTTGTTATTACACTATTTATAGATAATTATATTTGTAAATATTAATCATTTGAATTAATTTACTCTGTTACAGGTTTTTTTTCTCAGAAAGAAAAGGAGCAAAATTGGAAGGAGAACAAAGTGAGTTTTTGAACATTTCACCTTTTAAACCATTGTAGTTTTTTTTGTTTGAATCTGAAAGAACGTTGCTTTGTAACATTCTTGTATAGCGAAACTGGTAATTTTGCACGTTCTGAAGCTGTTAAAATGCTTAAAACATAATCTTTCGTAATTATATATTTTGCTGCAGCTGACACAAAATAGCATTGCGCACACTTTTTGTAATTAATAGTTACTACTTTCCATTCTTACTTATTTTGTATATTTAAATAAAATTATATTATTTTTTGCAAAGAAAAATTAAAGAAAGTCTTAAATACATATTATAATATAATTATTATAATTAAATTCTAATTTAGAAAAAAAATTATCAATTTTATATTCTGTACAAAAAAGACTAATAATTTAATTTACAATATATTGTTTGGAAATAATTACAAAATTAATATTAATTTGTTGTAAATATTCCTAATTAATATATATTTTTTTAAATTAAATAAAAAGAAATACAATATTATATCTTAAAAAACTTGGTAAAAAAGAGCAAAATGATACAAGAAAAATTACGTTATGTAAGTTTCCTAGTTAAAGCAACATTCCCTACTGAAGCGAATTTTTTTGTCTATGTACACTGAAATAGCAAAAGTGATGAAATATTCCAAAGTCTAATTCGAATATTATTAGCAAAAAAAAAATAGAAAGAAAGGAGAATGTTTTCTGTAAAAAAATAAAAAGTTAATTTAGGTAGAGGGGCTCGCGATATAGTAGATTCGCCCCTGGTTGAGGTTATACACGCTCACATCACGAGGTCCATGGGCCCCCCAATGGACCCACATGGTATCGTATACCAAGTACCACCTGTTGTACCGTCAAACCGCATTAAAAAGGATCTCGGTGTTGCGGCACTGCCTACGTACCTCCCCCGCTCTTTTCATCTCTCTTTGCCCACGTCTTCAGATTTCAAACCGTCGTTTGGTTTCGAATGTTCGAAAATAAGCGTCCGTTAAAATCATCTCATCTCGACACTGGAGCCGGTCGGTCGCGTTCATTGCTGAAAAATTCTTGACCATTCAGTCGTGCGTCGTCACATTGCTCAGAGAGTGAAACAGGAAGTAGGGATTAAATGCCCGTGTGAATGTTGTGTTATTATCAAAAACCAGTGATTCTTTTTTGTGTGTTATGGAAAATATTGTGAATACGTAAATAAACATATAAAGAAGAAAATGAGTGACTCTGGAGATAATCTTAAATATAAATGGACACCAGACAGTACGACGCTTTTGGTGTCTGTCTGGACCGATAAACAGGTACAAAAACAGTTGGAGTACACAACCAAGCCGCAATTAATATGGGAAAGTGTCGCTCGATATATGAAAAAAAAGGGATATAATGTAACAGCGAAACAATGTCGATCACGAATGAAGCAGGTCCTTGTTTGTTATCGTGAGGCCAAAAGATCTGGAACTCGTGCTGGCGTCGAACAATATTACGAATGCATTGATAAGGTCCTAAAAAATCGTCGATCAGATCCAGTGAATCTCAATGGAATTGACACTGTTGGTAAGTTGTTTTACTCTTATTTACCTTGATCAATTAGCACGCAATATTTTATTGACTTCCACGCAGAATTTTTCCTGGAATTTTTAGCAGTGAAATCAAAACAAACAAAAAACCAAAACAATGTTATCTCTTTTTTTTAAATGTTTACTTAATATTTTAATTTATTTCAATAATTATTTTACTTCATTTAAACCAATTAATTTACTTCTTTGTTTTTTAGTTACCTTGAGAATTTCCATTGTTAGCTCCAAAAAATAAAAACAATTTAAACTCTCATTTTTTTTATAGAAAAACATTTAATATTTAAATTAACTTTATTTATTATTTTATTTTAACCAATTAGTTTACTTCTTTGTTGTTTTTAGCTACCTTGAGAATTTCCATTGTCAGCTTTTTCATTGTTTTTTATTATTTTTCTGAATTTATTGTTTTATTAATTTTCAACTGTATGAGATATTTTTTCTTCACTCAGGGTGGCCACATGTCAGTAAAGTCAGGAAAATAATTTTTTGCCAGGGGAAATTAAGAAAATTGAAACACTTTCGACTTTTCTTCTAAACATTACAACAAAATGCCACAATTTTTAGTGAAAAAAAAGTGCAACTTATTTTGATTTTTATACATAAAGCAAAAAAAAAAATATAAACAAAACTTTCAAAAATTGTTTTTGAATAATTTTTTAACACAATTAAATTTTTCAAATATATCTATAATAAAAATTTTTTTGAATAGTTGAAATTTTGTAAAACTTAATTGAAAATAATTAATTTATTTCAATCATTTTGTTAGAATTTTTGAAAATCAACTAATCGAAAATTTTAAAAATTATTGAACTATGAAAAATTTTAATGAAAACTCTTTAAATGGACATGTATTTAAAAATTAAAATTAATGAAAATTAGCTTCTGATTTTTTAAAATTCAATATTTTCAGTATTTTCAATTACATAATTATTTCCGAATGTTCAAATACGTATAAAAAATAATATTTTGGAGAACAATCTCCGAACAATGTAAATAAAAATTTATAAAAATTGATTTTTGGACTTATTAAAACTTTTGAGAAATCATGTTCCTGTTTATAAATAAAATTCTTCAAAAATTTGATCACTTTTGTTTATATTTTTCAAAAATTCAATTATTTTTAAAAGATTTTACCAAATAGAAAAACTATTATCTTTCAAAAATTATTTTAAAATATTTAAAGAAAATTAATTGTAAGAATTTATTTATAATTTTTTTAAAAATATTATACCTTAATAACTAAAGAAAAAACTATGGAGAATTACTATTATTATAAAAAATTGAGTTTTTGTATTTAAATAATTTAATTCTAGAAGAACTTTTAGAAAATTATTTAAATTAATTGATTCAGAGATGAAGTTTAGTTTAAAATTGTAGAAAATAATTGAATTCAGGAAGTAAATTGTATTTTTCGTAAACATTCATATTTTCCTGTAAAAAGAATTTTGTCAGGGAAAGTAATTTTAATGTCAGTAAATTGTCAGGGAAATGAATAAACTGAAACTTGTGACCACCCTGTCACTACTTATGATTTGTTTGGTATTATTTGCAATATGTTTACAAAATTGTATAATTTTTGGCACGTTTTTCATAAATAATAAAAATTCTTATCTCTTTTCAAACAGATTCGACAAATAATGTGAAATCACCGCCAAAGGATGTAAAAACGAATAAAAATCTCCAGATGCGCTATAAATATCATACACCAATTGAATCACTTTATCGAACTGAAGCTCTCTCGCCAACCTGGACAGCAGGGAGTAAGACTGAAAACGATAATATTTACATACACTCAAGTGAAGGATAAGTGGAATTCCTTCTTACTCACTTTTATTTTTATTTTCAGGAGACGAAGATTATCCAGACTCACCAGAATCTAATGAAACAGTACTTGCACAACCATTTCGCGTACTTTCTCCTGTTCGTGATGCTGCAACAAATACTCGACATCAACTAGATCAGTTCTCAAGAAAAACTCTTCATTCTAATACCGTTGCCACTAACACTATCGAACCAGCAGTTAAGGACTCTTTTCACCCAAATTCCCTCGCTAATAATCGTTTCAGCGAGATACCCTATCAGAATACTGTGCAAAATGTACAAAATCAAATAATTCAAGAGAACATGCAACAAAATCAAGCATATTTGCAGCAAAACTTATTGCAAAATCAATTGTCGGGCAATAATTTATTGCAAATGAATCCAACTTATAGGCAAAATTTGTTGAATACAAATGAAACTCTATATGCAGGACAAGGAGTTCAATGGCGAACGGGAAACGATCAATTGCCAATTTTATTGAATCCAATTCAATCAGAGAATATTTATTATCCTCAAAATCAATTACAAAATAATCCCATTAACAATCAATTGATACCGCAGGAGCCGAGAAAATTGACATTTAGACAGAATTTAGATTCTTATCGTCAGTATCAAAATTCTCGTGGACAAACTCTAAATCATATTCCAAGTGGATTATTATCACCTCGTTATTCGCCGGAGTATGTCGCGAATTTGGAAGAGAAGGCGCACAATTTAAATGAGACCTACGATCAATCATCTGGCAATGGAATCAATCTTCCCAATATTGATACAACAACGTTGACAACTAACGCCACATTTAATGATGATACATTGTCAATTGAATTTCTACAAGATTCACCATCGCCTTCCGATGATGGCACTACGAAAGTCAAAGACTTGGCGGTTAATACGGACATTGTACCGAATGCTCCATTCCGGAAGAAAAAAGCACAGAAACTTGAGCAATTGATGCTAAGTGCAATAAGTTCGCAGAATGATGTTGTTAATAAGGTAATTATTTTTAGTTATAATTTCTCATTTAATATTAAACTATAGCAAATATTACGCACGCGAAACGCGGTTTTTTATTTATTATTATTATTATGCAAATTAAAAAATATTTTTATTTATATATTTCGATTTTGGAATATCTTCAGATACAAAATTACAAAAAATTCAATTACTAACTAATTTACTATTTATTATCATTTTTCTTTCAAAAACTCAATTACAATTCGTCGCAGGAATTCAATTATTTTCAATAAAATTTCTCAAAAGAATTCAATTATTTTTAAAAATTTAATAAAATTCTTCAATAAAATTAAAAGTATTTTGAAAATGTATAATTAAATTCCTTATGAAAATTGAAATATTTTTAATACAATTTTAATTAAATTTCTTAAAAAAATTCAATTTGGAAAATTGTAATAAAAATTCCATTATTTTCATAATTTATAAAACTTTATGCAGAAATTTAAGTATTTTAAAGAATTTTAATGAAATTCTTGGTAGAAATTCAATTACTTTGAAAAAATTTGATAAAATTATTTATGAGAATTGAATTATTTTCAAAATTAACATAATTCTTCAAAGGAATTTAATTATTTTAAAAAAATTAAATAAAATTATTTATTACTTTCAAAAATTTCAATAAAATAATTCTTTACAAAAGAAAATTTAATTAAATACTTTAGAAAAATTTAATTCTTTTTCTAAATAATAAAACTTTTCGCAGAAATTAAATTATTTTAATAAATTTTGGTAAAATTATAAGAATTCACTTATTATTAATCTAATTTTAATAAGATTCTTAACAAGATTTCAATTATTTTCGCAATTAATAACATTTCTGGAAAAAATTAAATTATTTAAAAAAATTGTAATCAAATTTCTCAAAAGAATTTAATTATTTTTAACAATTTGATAAAATTTTTCGCTAAAATTAAAAGTATTGTGAAAAATTTTTATTAAATTCTTTATGATAATTGAAATATTTTCTTACAATTTTAATTAAATTTCTCGAAAAAAATTTATTATTTTCGAAAATTTTAATAAAAATTCCATTATTTTCATAATTTATTTAAAAAAACTTTTCTCAGGAATTAAATTATTTCAAAGAGTTTTAATAAAATTTTTAGAAGTAATTTAATTACTTTGAAAAATTTTTATAAAATTATTAGTGAGAATTGAATTATTTTCAAAAATTGCTATAATTCTTCTGATGAATTTAATTATTTTAAAGAATTTTAATACAATATTCTTTATTCTTTTGAAAAATTAAAAAAAAATCTTTATAAAAAAATTTAATTAAATGCTTTAAAAAATTTTATTCTTCTTCTAAATAATAAAATTTTTTTCAAAAATTCAATTATTTTGAAAAATTTTGATAAAATTAAAAGAATTCATTTATTTTTAATATAATTTTAATAAAATGCTTAACAAGATTTTGATTATTTTCATAATAAATAACATTTTTCGAAAGAAATATTTTTAATAATAGAGCTGAAATTAACGATTGAATATTTTTAATTGAAAACAATTTGTCTTAATTAATTTTTGGTATTTTTTAATCTTCAAAGCATTAAAAAAGAATTTAAAAATTTAAAATATTAAAAAGAAAAATTATCAAAAAAATTACAAAAGTAACAGTTTTGTTAAATTTTATTTGTTAATTATGTTAAAAAAATCTTGCCTTATTTTTATTACTATTCTGATGATCTAGAAGTTCTGAAGGAAATTTTTTTCTTTAAAAAGAAATTATTCACTGTTATAAAAACTATTTTTAAAGTAAAAGTAATTTTTTTTAAATTTAATTTAATAAAAAGTAATTTTACCATCTCGTAGAATCGGTAGAATTGTCTTTCAAACAATTCCAAAAACGAAATTAATCATTTAGAATCTTTATAATTTCTTTTTTTTAAATATTTGACACAATATTATTGCAATAAAATTTTAAAGAAGAAATTAATAAATTTCGTTCATTTGAAAGTTCAGAACTTTCGGAACATTATTTCGATATTTTATTTAAACAACTCAACTAAAAATGTGTCAATTCTTTTAGATTCTCACCGCTCAAAATGATATGGTCACAAAATTCCTCGACTTGGATCGAGATCGACAAAATAGACTGGAAAATCGTCTCGATCATTTAATGGACGTTGTACATGCGACCGTACTCAATAAATCATCAGACCGTGAATCTGATCAGCAAGAGCCGATAATAACAAATTTACTTCCACCGCCAAAATTAGGAATTGTTCCACCGAAATTGGATCTTGTTCCACCGAAGCCATGCCGATTTCCCTCAACATTAACCGGCAATAATACAAATCAAAACACAGAAATGACAAGACCGGGAGTAATATCACCACCCGCTCGTAGAATTGGTTCAATATGGACAAAATTAGGTCCCGTTTCACAATCACCATTCGTCAAGGCCCAACAACAACTTGGCTTTCAAACAATTCCAAGTCTCGAATCAAGAACACAATCATCAGCCGAACGACGTATTTTACAGGACATTCGAATGAATATGGACCCACGAACAGTCATCGAGGAGACATTAACTTTCCTCGAGAACGAACGACATGTTCAAGAGAAAATTGAAAACGCAAAAATTCAATCAAACATGAATCAAACATTAACAGCAAAAAAACGTTTATTCACCAATCGTGAGCCAACGGCGGCTATGATTTTATCGGCCGCATTTTTAGAAAATGAATCACAGTACATTGAACTCGTGGAAAATGCTCGTATCAATTGCGGTAATAATGAAATTACACGAATGTGTTTAAGATATCTTCATCAACAAGCATCGAAGGAGAGTGATAAGCTTGTCGCCGGACAAGGTGACAGTTATGAACGTCTAAAACGATTGAATTTAGATGAGAAGTTTATTGACGAGCCTTCTGATTCATCAACACCTGCGAAGCCATCAGCACCTCAACTCGAGGCACGACCGACAATTCAACAATTAGCACAACTCGTAATGCAGAGTTCCCGTTGGCGTGATGTGGCGCAGAATAAACTAAAACCCCTCGATGCGCCACGAAAAGATGTCAATCTAAGGAGACGTGATTTTTTCAATGACGAACAACGTAGAGATGAACAAAACCGTATTGAAGCAAGATTAAATGTTTTAAAACGCGAGGAACAATTAGAAGAGGAGCGAAAGAAAATACAATTTTTAGAGAATGAAGAGAGAAGGAAACGTGAAATGATCCTTGAGGAGGAGAGAAGAACTGATTTTTTGAAAGATAATAACGGAATAGCAATTTTGAGGGATAACAATGAAATTGCTGGTGAATTGGGAAGAAATAAAAAATACAGAAATTACAAGGATTCAGATGGCAAAGCAAAGGCGATAAATTGGCTTCAGGATCGTTATTCATATGGCGATCAGATTTTAAAAATAAATCAAGGTGTACCACGTCCAATTGGTTTTAGTGTCGATGATTTAAATGCCATCGAGGCGAAACCGAATTTCGAGAGAAGGGATAAATTGAGAAAATCAAATTTTGACGAAAGACTGAAAAATCATCGACAAAGTGTTCATTTCTCCGATGATATGGGACCATTCGGTCAATTGAAGCAAAATTATCCTCAACGTTATTATACATTGCAGAATCCAAAATATATTGAAATTGATGGCGTGCCAATTCCGCAGAATCGCGATATGATCGATCGATATATGCGTGAAATTGAATTGCGAAGAGTAAAAGATGATTCGGATGATGAAGAATTTTTGGACACAACAACGACAATGAGTCCATTTACACCGACGGAGGGAGCTTTGAAAGCTGGTAAAGGAACCTGTGTGATAAGTTAATTATAAAAAAAGAAATTTTTTTTTCTTTTCCTTTTTTTATCGCTTTACAAAATATGTAATTGAAAAAAAATTAAATAATTAATTTTCTAAAAATTCGAAATTAGTCGAATTTTCGTTTGAAACAAGAAAAAAGTTTATTTCTTATTATTTAGAAAGAATTCTTTTTTCGTTTTACTTGAGTATATTCGCATATATACTCAATTTATGACAATTGATAAAATGTTGCAATGATAATTATGACTGAAATTTAGATTTAAAGTACGTTTAAAGTTTGAAAAAAAGTCAAACGATAGGTTTTTTTTTATAATCTTTTTTCTTGTTATAGAATTTATATGATATCGTTTATTTGAAAAATAATGAAACTAAAGCTAATCGCGACTAAAGGAGAAACTAATTAATTTTAATTTTAATTTTCGATTCCAGAACAATGTAATTATTTACTTTTTGTTTTGTTTTTATTAATCACTAGTGTCGCTGTTAGTTTCAGTATCCTTGCAGAAAATATATCTCAACAGTGCTTCCACTTCACTATTAATTTGTAATATTACTTATTTGTTAAATACTTACGAATGTATTCGTATATTTAAAAGAATTTTCAATTTTTCCATTATCTAAAGTAATAGTCTTTAATTTATTTGTTTACAAAATTGTTTTGATATTTCAAAATATTCAAGAATTACTAAAATAGAAATATTTGCAAAAACAGTAAGTTTATTTATTTAAAAAAAATCGTTTGTTTAAAAACTGTTTCTTTTTTTTAAAATAGTTTTACTTCAAAAACAAAATAAAATTGAAATTTATTTCTAGAAAGAAAATTATTTTCATTTGGAAAAAATTGAAAATTCTTTAACGCAAACATAAAATGTGCCAGTGATAATGTCTTTGTTAATTATTATCATATGTTATAGTTTATATGTTCACTTTAATAAATAAATACTTTTTTGAAAAGTAAACCATAGTTCGGATTTTTTTTCTTGAAAAGATAATTTTAATAAAACAGTAAATTAATTTAATTCAACTTTTCTTTCAATGTAAATAAATCCATAGGCGAAATATTTTACAGTTACAGTAAATTAGTTTTATTTAAATACATTTTTATTCCTCTCAGAGTGCAAATAAAACCTCAGACAAAAAAGGATGATAGGAAAATAAATTTTGACAATTTTTTTTAGTTAAACCGTAGTTTATTTTTTTTGCAAAAATACAAAGTTGCTATATTTCTTTTTTTTTAAGCAGTGGTTGGATATTTTAAATCGCCAATGAATAATTGTATATTTTGATGATTAATCATGAAGAGTGACGGTTTATTTACTTCAAAAGTAACAGTTTTATCAGGAAATAATCGAGCAGATCGTCCCATTGTTATAGCTGTTTGAAACAAACATTATAGTACAAAAGTACATTAATAATTTAATAATAACACTAATAATTAATATTTAACAATTAACGCACAAATCATTTGTAAAAGTGCACTAAGTCTTTAAAAAAAAATTAATCACATGCTCTGATTCGTGCAAAAAAGCTTATTAAATTACAATAAATTAACATTTATGTTTACAAAAAAGCGACAAATTGCAAATCACGTGCAATTTTTTTAATCAAAAAAAATTTTTCTTTTAATATTTTTTGTTTTTTTAATTAATCAAAAAGACATAATTTTTCAGAATAATTGATTATGAATAAATAAAGAAAGAAATGAAGTAGATGAGAAATTATATTTTTTAAATAAACCTGAAAAAAATTTAGAAAATAACTTTTAATTTTTTATTTCGATGCTAATATGTAAAAAACAAAATAATTTATTTACAATATTTAGGAATAAAAGTCTAATTTTATGTACAATATAGAATTTATAAAATCATTATACAAAAATAATTTTTTTTTTATACAAGAATTTGAAATTTATAAAAGAAAGAAAGTTGTAAAATTTAAAAATAATATTTCAATAACAAATTGCGTTTTTTTTATGGATCCGCCAAATTTCCAACAAACAATGGAACATTTCCACGTGCAAGCATAAAGAAAGCTGGTCTGTCAACAGCGAATATTTCACGTCGTGGTGGCATTGCTGGCATTCTCAACATCATAATCGTTCCTATAAAACATTATTGTAAAATTCAAATTTTCTCATATTTTTTCAACATTCAAATTTCAAAAACGAGGAAATATTTTTTTCGGTAAATTTTTAATAGAATGATATAACATTTCACTCTAATAGAATTCTTTTTTGTAATTTAAAAGGAATTTTACTGCTAAATATCTCACAATTATTATCTGTGAAATCAATTTAAAATAGCTTTGAATTTTTAATATTTAAAATATTATTAAAAACACATAATTTTTAGTTATTTAATTTTTTTTTTATTATTTTGGTATATTTACAAAAATGCTGTATGAAATTTTCGTAAAATAACTTAAAAATTAAACTCTTATATTTACATTATTATTGCACATTAACATAGTTTAATGTTCTATGACTCTATGAGTGGGTTAACGATACGCGCAGCAAATAAAATGGTTTTTTTATATGTTAGGAACATTAATGCAGGATGATCGACATCAAATACTTCTTGAAAGAAACCGGAAAACATTCTAACAGAAACTGCGAGTCCTGAAACATTGATTATTTTCAGAAACGTTTTTCAATAAAGGATCAATAGAAAATTATGTTGCCATAAAAAAGAAATGATTGGGGCCAAAGGGAAAAATGATAATTAATTATTAATTAATTAAAAAAAATAAGTATTAATTTAGCAAAGAAATAATTATTAATTAATTAAAGAAATAATAATTAATTATTATGTAGAAAAAGAAAAGACTGTAGGTTCGAAATAAATGCGTGACATAATTTTCCAATGACTCCTAATTTAATGCAAAAATTATATAAATAATAAAAATATATATTAGTCATTATTAAAATATTAGAAAACTCATAATTAAAATTTCCAAACAATTTGCAAAAAAAAATCACACTCTTTGTGCTATACTGTTAAAAAATGGAAGCGTGCCAATAAAGCAATACTAAATTAAATAAATATTTATATAAAAATAGAAACAATTAAACATGCTCCTGAAAAGAATTTATTCATTGAAACTTTTATTTTTTCATTTGAGGGAAAATTTGGAAAAAAAATTGATTTATTTTTTAAAAATCTTTCCAGTTCAATATATTGTAAACATAATAATATTGAATATTTTTCAATGTAAATTTTAATTTACTTATTTATTATATTCTATGATTAGAAATTAATCATGAATTTACCTTTATTTGAAATTTTTGACGTTTCCTGCGAAGAGTAAAATTCCATTTTCACCCCTCGTTTGTTTAACGATTTGATAATGGAATGGATGATCGGCTTTAAATTCAAAAGTAATGGGGAGTGATAATGCCACCATTGTAAGTCCTAAACAAGGACAATACAATACATTTTTCTCTTCTCACTTGATTTTCTTTTATATGAAAAAGAATATTTTTAATGACCTAATATATAACTTTCGACAAAACAATTATTTAAAAAGAAGCGTTTTAAATAGATGTAAACATACATTTGATGTATAATATAATTGTTGCAGTTTATGTTTGTATACTTTATGTTTCTCTCATTCATCATTTTATTTAATTGGTTTCTTAATTAACAACAATTATTTTTGACACACAAAAATATATCTGAATAAATTTTATTTATTTTTTTTTGTACCTATATTTAGAATTAGAATGTTTTCAAATAAATTATAGGTGTATATTGTATATAGTAAAATTTATGAAAAATTTTAATTATTCATTTTTCTGTATATTTAATTTTTTACACACTAATTTATTTATTTACCTATTTATTTAAATATTAGAATTTATTTACTGTAGTTGCTTTATAATTTATTGTTTCTGTATATTTTTCTAAATAGTACAAAAATTAACATGAAAACATGAATCTTAAATTAAATATTTATATGCAAAAACATTTAAATTTGAAACTCAGTCTATTTATATCACATTATTTTTATAAAAGAAGTATTTTTATTCGGAATAAATTAATTAACTTTCGGCTCTTTGACGTTACCGCTAAAAAGAACAAGTGCAAATTGCTGATGAAAAATTTTGAAATGGAATGGTCGATCCATTGATATTTTGGCTGGCAAAATTGCCATTGGAGGTTCTACTATTATATCTGGAAATATAAAATTATTTTTGATTTTAAAGATAAATTTATCAAAAACATTATTCAATCAGTCAAAGCATTTAAGTAACAACTATAATTAATTATGAGTAGTATTTTAAGATTTATTTATTTATATTTATTCCTTATACGCGAAGAGGGATATTCTTAATCTTAAATATTATTTTAATTTAATTGCTTAATTAATTAATTAAAATATGCATTTATTTATAAACGTTTAGTAACAAATAATTAATAAAATAAACGCGTAGTCAATGCGTTCATTTCCTGATAAAAATTTTACTTAATTTTTTTATTCGGAAAAAAGTTTTACATGAAGCAGCTACAAATTTCACGATAATAGATCAATCTTTAGTTGTTTCTGTTAATACTATTGCTATTCTAGAGAAACTTATCGCTGCTTCAGGTGACAATTTTTTTCTGTGTGTCTTAAATTTTTTTTTAATTTTATGGCAAAATGGTTTTTATGAAGATATTAATATTAATAGATATTAATATAATTAATATTATTTATATATATTAATTATAATTAATATTATTTATATATATTAATTATAATTAATATTATTTCTTATATATGTTAAACATTTATAATATTATTAATAATATATATTAAATAATATTAATTTTAATGTTTATTAAATAATTACTATTGACCATAATTGACAATAATATTGCCAGTATTGACAATAATTTAAAAAATGTTCCCAAAAGAGAATAAACTTTACAGTATTTTTCAGTGGCATTGTTGAAATGCATTTATTTTTCAAAGCATAAAATATAAATAAACGTACATGGTAACTTAATTAATGTCAAATTAATTATGCACTGAATACTAATTAATATACATATTCATATTTACATTGATGAATCACATAAATATAATATTTTTTACTTTTAAATGAAATGGCAAACTTCTAAAAGTTCATGATTCTTGTTTCGCTTCCTTCTACAAACATTTTTAAGATCAAAAAGTCCTAAACAATTCCCTATAAATGTCATGTATACCAGTTCTATTTTTATAATTGTAGATTAAAATGCTAAACAAAAGTTCCCTTTAATTATTTGAATATTAATAATAAATAGATATAATAATATAATAATTAGTATAATAATATATAATAATTAATATTATAATAATAGTATAAACTTGAATTTATTTGAACTAATGCAGAAATTCTCCTTACTCTTTTATCGAGATAAATAAATAAAGATGAAATCTTTTATTTGTATTTTTTTTCTTAACATTATTTGTGACTTTTTTTGTAACAATGTTGACCATTTTTGATTTTAAAAAAATCAGTATATAGGCAATTTGTGACATATATAGCAACAATAAATCTTTATATCATAATCTTCTTGAATAAATTAGGAAGCAGCTTATTTTAATCGCAAGGTTTCGTAATGCGACCTTGAAATAGAGAAATTTGATATCTTCCTTCCATAATACAGTATAAAAATGTTTTATTTACTGTAAATTGAATGGGAATTTGAATAGAATCCGTTTCTGTAATATCTGCTGTTAAAAAGAATATTTCTTTTTATACAATTCGTGTATTTGGAATATTTTTTATAGCAGGAAAATTTAACAATCGCAACTATAAGCATCTATATTCTATATGTTAAACGTAACATTTTTTTCTAAATAAGACCATTTGCATATTTATTTGTTCATGCAATAGCTGAATTTATATTTTGCATTACCCTTTTATAATTATTATTTATTCCTTTTCTCATCAGAAGCATTTTAATTTTTATCTTTCAAGCCTGAGATTAAAAAGCAAGTATTTGTTTTCTTCTTTTTTGGTATAAATTTTTGCGTATAATTTAAAATAATTATACTTTTATAAGCGTAAATAAAAATTTGCTAAAATTTTCTTTTTTGTTAAGAAAATAAGCAACTATTATTTTAAATATTCTCTACTTTATAAGTTTTATCTTTTGTACTTTCGAGGCTGACTAAATTTTAAATTCATGACGATCCCGGTTGCAACACATGGCCTTGAAACAGTGTAATTTCACCTTCATCCTTTATTATCATGTATAAAAATGGTCTGTCCACATGAAATTCACCGGCAGTAGTATAGGATTCGAGCGTGATTTCAAGTACTGTCAAACATATATTTATATGTTGTAAAATAATTACCAAAATTTTTATATTAAACATTAGTTATAAAATGAAAAGAAAACGACAAAGTTTTTTTTAAATTGATTGGATAAATGACCAGCGAAAATTTTACGCGGTTATTTCTCTATAATCATTTTAAAAAAAGAGATTTTTAAAATTCACATTTAAATGAAATGATTAACTAATTAATTTTTCTTGAACATGAACACTTTTGTTATGAACAATCAAACAATTAAGAACAAACAATTAAGACAATTAAGAAAAATGTTATGACAGAAAACCAAATTGGATAATTTTTTTTGGTACAAAAATATAATGTTTGAGAATAAAATTCGCAGTTAGATAACTTTATTCATTTGTTACAAATAAAGTTTTAGTTTATTAGAATTTTAAACCAACAGAAAATATTTTTATGTTAATAAATAAATTGTTGAAAATAAAGAGCATTTCTATAAGATTAATTTTTTAAATTAATTTTCTAATTAATTTAATTATGGTTGAAAAATGAAATTTAAGGTTCTTGTATATGGCTAATAAACAAAGAACCAATAGTCTTGCTTTTTAAAATCGACAAGAAAGGTTTATCAGCAAAAAAATTTATAGGTTCCCTTTTTCATGATTTTGTATTGACTCTCACTGCTACAAAAAAATAGAACAATTATTTCTTAGAAACACAGTACAAATTTATACACTTATAGATAGAAGTAGGCCAAAGAAAATAGGTCACAAATTGAATGATGTACTTGAGTGTTATGTTTTAATCCAACTAATATTTTTATTAGGAAATTTTTGATTGAGGTAAAAAATATGATTTTTAAGAATAAAATAATTCTCGATTCACTGTCAGAAAGCTTTATTAATTTTTAATAAACAAACTTTTAGTTTGTTAGAATTTTAAACCACGGGAAAATAATTTTATATTAATAAATAAATTGTTGAAAATAAAGAACATTTTTATTAGGTTCATTTTTTAAATTAATTTTCTAATTTAATTGTGTTTCAAAAATTAAATTTAAGGTTCTTTTATATGGCTAATAAACAAAGAACCAACAGTCTTGCTTTTTAAAATCGACAAGAAAGGTTTATCAGCAGAAAAATTTTTAGGTATCCTTCTTCTTAAACTTTTTGTTTTGATTGCCATTCCTACGAAAAAAATAGGACAATTATTTCTTAGGAACCCAGTAAAAATTTATACACTTATAGATAGAAGTTAGACCAAAGAAAATAGGCCACAAATTGAATGAGATGTACTTGGTTATGTTTTAGTCCAATTAATATTTTTATTAAAAAATTTTTGTTTGAGATAAGCACAAAATATAAATGTAAATGTAGGTAATACGCAGAAATGCACACAAAAAAGGTATAATTTAAATTACTCGATTGTTATATTTTAGTCTAATTAGTGTATTTTTATTATAAGAAATTATTATTTGAAAATTTAAAATCATCAAATAAGTAAATAAAAATTCAGATAAAAGTTAGAATTTTAAAAAAATGACGTTATTTTTAAACGTTTATTTGATTTTAATTCTTAGAGTGCCTTTGAAAATTTAAACAACTATTTAGTTAATCACAAGCAAATATTTTTTGCGTTATTGCTTCCTCATGAAGAAGTATTTAATTATGTTTTCCGCAAACATTTTTTGTATAAAATAAAATTTACTGGTGTAGCGCAAAGATTCAAATTCGGAAGCGAAAAACATTTAGAAGATAGTATAATTAGATAGTATATTATTAGAAAAACTATTATTGTAATCGGACCCTAGATTATTGAAACTAATCGTCAAAAAACAGTACTTCTTTTCAATACCTATTGACAAACGTTTCTCTTCAAAAAATTTTGAAAGTAAATTATAGTTGTTAAATTTTTTTCAAAAACACGCCACTGACAAGAAAGTAATGTGTGTTCCTCTTTTGTTCACAAAATATTACTCTACTTTATAAACAATACTAATTAAACGAAAAGCGCAATTATCATTTGATAGGTAAAAAATTGAATTTACAATTTATAAACAGTCGCATCATTTATAACATAAAGTTATTTTTTTAATATCTTATTTTGGATCCACAACTTGTCCATTAAAAAGACTGAGATTAGAGCCAGTGTTGTTCTTGTTGTTGCTGTTGTTGCGTGTTTTGTAAACTATAGAGTATAAAAATGGTCTATTGACATCGAAGATCACTGGTCGTTGTGGAGGCATAGGAAGTGATATAGGTACTACTACAATTCCTAAAGATAAATTTAGATACTTTTATAATTTGTATTAATTAATTTAATTCTAAATTTATTTTTACATTATAAATATAATATAATTCTGATTTTATCAGTGAAAACTTTTTCTTTCTGAATAATTTTGTTTTGTAAATTCATTCTTGATAAATTCATGGTAAAATTATTCTTGTTAATAAAGTTCAAATTCAGATACCTGAATCAAAAATGAATTCTTTTTTTGTTTTGATGCCATTTGATGCCAAACCCAAAATTAAAAAGCAACTTTTAATGTCGATTCGAATATCTGAGATATTGTTTGAAATTACGTTATAAGTTATTTTTCAACTGGATCCTTGATGTGACCATTGAATATATATGTTGAGTAGAAGGAATAAGTATAATCGGGTACACGGTGAATTATTATGTATAAGAAAGGCCTATCAACTGTGAACACCGCTTTTTCTGGTGGTCTTATCATACTAGAACCTCCCATACCAAAAAATCCTATGAACAAAAGATTTATATCAATTTTTCGTGTTTATGACTGTTTCCACGACAAGCAGTATCAATATTAATCAGTACTATGATAGAAAAAATCTTCCAACTGTAGTCGATATGAACTTTCATCAACGAATCAATAAAAATTCGAAATTATTTTGAAAATATTATTTATCATTAAGTACTGATTTTGGTTTGCGGTTGATTGACTTGAAAATAGCCAAAAATAAGTAATTCCCGAAATTAGATTCTAGAAGATATGAATAGTATGCCTCCCTTCATATCTACTCTACAATGATTTTTAGCCGTTTTACAATATGATCGATTAAATTTTTTTACTTGTTTTTAATGTTAGGTGTGTAATTTGTAGTTCCGGATTAATATCAATCAAATGTTTTTAAATGTCCAGTAAATAAAGTTAGTGGTACGTCTCTGTAGTGATTCTTGTAAATCAAATGATACACGAAGGGTCGATTGACAGCAAATATCACTGGTGATGGTTCTATGTTCGGCGACGCCGATTCAACCATCATCACTGCTGCGAAAACAATTATGCAGTGTTGTAATAATAATATGTATAAAGAAATAGTAAAATTAAATTAAATTAGTAATTAAATTAAATTTTCAACTAAATGGATTAAAAAATTTTTGTATGATTCTAAGTTTTGTTATATAGTAAGAGATTAGAAATTTTCAAACACAAGTAGAATCATATTGTGAGTGCATATTTAATCTTAATATTTTACAGATTTTCTCTATTTTTTTTACAGATCATGTCACAATTGGTCTTCGAGAAAAAGTGTGGGAATGACCATTGCATCTGGATCATCAATTACATAGAGGTATGATACGTTTTTTTCTAATTTCATTTAAAAGTTAAAACAAAGTACACGAATCTGTAAAATTCATACTTAAAATCTGTAAAGAAAATAAATACTAAAATCTTAGCAGAAAAGCTGAATTAAGAATGATGTTTGTTAAAATAATTACAATGTTTTATTAACTTATTAATTCATTACATTTTATCGGAACAAATTGAAAACTTAAATATAGATCACAAGAGAAAACTTAAGAACAAACAAAATTTGAAATTAGTATTAAAATTAGAAAGATATAAATTCACTATCTTTAATTAATTGGTTCCTTAATGTGCCCACTGAATAAAACTGTTGTCAATAATAAGTTTGTATTGGGCTTGTTGTAAATTAAGTAGTACGAAAAGGGTTTATCGATAGTAAATATCACTGGTGATAGTTCTGTGATCAGAGACGTCTTTTCAACCATTATCACTGCTGGGAAAATAATTATGCTGTGTTGTAATAATGATACAAAAAAATAGTGAAACTAAGATTATTTAATTAAATTTTCAACGAAATGGATTAAAAATTTTTTGTATGATTCTAAATTTTGTTTTATAGTAAGAGATTAGAAATTTTCTATTACAAGTAGAATCATATTGTGAGTGCATATTTAATCTTAATATTTTACAGATTTTCTCCATTTTTTTTACAGATCATGTCACAATTGGTCTTCGAGTAAAAGTGCGGGAATGACCATTGCATCTGGATCATCAATTACATAGACTCATAGAGGTATGATACATTTTTTTCTAATTTAATTTAAAAGAAAGTACACGAATCTACAGAAGCAATCTGTAAAATTTATACTAAAAATCTGTAAA